TGAGTGAGTGAGTGAATGTATGTATGCTGCCGAAGCAACTAGAAAAAGAGCAGCTGAATGAGGTAGCTAGACCTACCGCGCAATGGTTCTGACTTGGAATGGTTCCGTTTGCCCGAAAATGTTTTCAGACTGTCAACCAATGAATGAAGACAATTTTTTGTAGCTTCGGAGGTGATAAAGTATCCCGAAAGTGGATTGTTTCCCGTAAATGGAAGAGAGTTAGCAAGGGCACATCAAATTTGAGGCGCGCGCGAGAAATTACGTTCAATATGAGAAAGTAAATGACTGATAACCGAAAGCCTTACCCGACAAAGTACTGTTCAAGATTATAATATCTTCAGAAAATTATGGTTTTCCAGAAAAGCAGAGATGCCAATCATACTCTCCCAGGTTTTTCTCTAAGTTCTTCAATAAGAGGAAAAACCCGTCACGACAGTATACAGCTATCATTTTCCCAAAGCTGCTATCAATAGGTTTTATGACTTGCGCCTATGCTTCTTACTAGTAAAACAAATGGTCTTTATTGCAGTAATGAGGCGTTATGATTTCCAATTACGAATTATATTGTCGGATCTCCTTTCCTGACGCTTGTGTACCGAATCATGAATGTCGTGGAAATCTCTTTCTGTTATATTATTACACAATTGTCCCAGTTCTTTCTATTTGATTGAAGATGATATTAACCTTGATGCTAGGGTTCCTAAAGATTAGGAATGAAAAATCATTTGTAGTTCGTGTGCTTATGTAAAATCGAAGCTTCACGAGTTCTCTTTTGGGCAAAGGGGCCACTAGTTTAAAGTCGTTGGCCAACTCATGTTTAGTGAAGTAAGGCGAAATATTGAGTAAGGTACCGTAAGCTAAGATTTTAAACCTCTTCTTAGAGCAATTCACATCTGTTGATAATGGCACTCTTATTTCGTCAGTAGTTAGTCATATATAAAAGTGAAAGTTTGATAGGGACGTGGTTTGTAAGATCTTAGGAATCTGAGAGGGAATTCCGTCCTTATGCGCACTCGTATAGTGAAACCACACTTTTTTGTCACAAGACTGTTGCTTTCCAATACAAATCTACAGTTCTCACTTGATTCGTTTTCTAGTATGAAGCCAGGAAGTCCTTTGTAGTCAAGGTAGTGCTGAAAAATTAGGTTCCAGTAGTTGTCAGTGAGTAGCTTCTGAATAATAATTACTGTACATTTTGTGAAAATATTTATGACTTTGACAAGCCAAATGATATAACAGATTATCTGTTGGTTGCGAAATACGAAGAGCTGCATTACGTTGGTGAGTTATTACAAGAGTAATGGAAGTGACAGTAGATGACTTTGATACTGCAAAATACTTTTATCGTTCTTGAATCATGTGGCTTGTACAAACGCACTAGGAAATATGGACGAAAACGCTCTACTGCTGAGCATTGCAAAGCCTGGAAGGCAACTAGTTTAGGTTTGTACATGATTAGAATGAAGACAATAAAACAGAAAGACATGCATATTTTGCACTATATTACTGGGAGTCTACTTTCTCTTGTGGTGGGAACTACCTTATGAAATGGTGAACTTGTTGCTGATTTAACAAGTTTTATAATAAATTATTACTTCGCGTCGTCAGCCAAGTAATTTTCATTTATAAATTGAAAGGCTTGATTTTTCATTTATATATGAAACCGTGATGTTAGAACTTGTCAGGTTGTATAAATAAGCATAATTGTCATTGGAATTTGGATGTTAAGTTTGACAATCAATAAAATAAGTTTCAAATTCTCCATCACTTATCATTCCCATTAATATTCATTTGGCTAGAGGAGTCGAGGAGAATTTCAATGATTCAGAATAACCGAGTGGGATATGTGTGGGATATGCGTGTCACATTTGGAGTTAACATGAATAAATAAAAAACATGAATGAATTATTTACCACCAAAGCATGAATTAACAGAAATTTCGCTCAATGATAAATATTTTACTGAAATGCTGCACTACTATCCCAGCATCAGTGAAATAGGAACCGGCATTTAAAATGTCACCTGAATTAAAGTGTAGTAGAATACTTTTATTAAGAGAACGCGATTGATTTAATAAAAACATCAATTATTATAACCACTACTAGTGATTGTTTAACCGTACTTTTTGTTTATAACAATCATTACGCGCAAACGTTCTGTTTGTGTTGCTGCCATACTTTACTCCAATAGCTCTGTTATTTCGCCCATCTTTTCTGGTATGATTTCAGTGTTCGTTTGACACTATGTAATCGCCAGGAAATATATTCTCTACCCTAGATTTATTTATCTTGTCAGGGATTGGCTAGTAATTAGTATTGATACCAAAAAAGTATTTCCAATTATCACAATAGGTTCCGTCGCTGAAAGAATAAGTGCTTCCAGTCCGTTACTGCTAGAGTATCAAATCCAAATATGGCTGAAGCCATATTAAATGTCAATTTTAAACAACACATATATAATTCAGAAGAAAACATGGAAACTTCAATATAAGTACAAGATATAGAAATAATAACAATATACAAATGATAAAATCTCAAAGGGGATCAAATACAGTACCAAAATATCAACAGAAAGAGTCAGTCATATCATAACACAAATATATATACATCGAGGGATTTTCCAAAAACAAAACCTTCAAAATAGATTCTACACTGTGTACATACGCTCGGCAGTAGGTAACTAGAACAGTAACGTTTCTAATGTCTGGATACCGTGGTTTGAACATAATAATCAATTGACAGTAATCCGTCTACTTAATCTAGAAAATCTTTCCTATACTCAAGTTCAGTGGTTTTAGTATAAGCTTATTCAGTACTCAACAAGTTATATATATATTTACTTGAGATAAACAAAAACACTGTTTCCATTATGTTAACAATTTATGACCAATAACTAAAGTAAAACAAAAATATCATCAACCTCTAAATCAACAAAACTGTAGAAATCAATAAATACTATCCCCGATGAATCTGTAATCGAAAGTCATGCTCTTATATTTTAAACTCCGCACCTACAGTCCATTAGTTTAGCCGTCAATAGCAGATGTTCTGTATTACAACCCTTCTATTTATTCGTTAGGGATGCCAAGGGTAAAACTGATAGATGCAAGAGGCACTACACTAAAGTTTACTGAAATCTTAGTAGGGTATATCGTTTAGTTTGCTTACGGCTCCTTACGATCTAGTGAGATGTAACTAATAAACGAAATTCACGTCACTTTTCCGTGTTAACTACGTAGCTGCCTCATGCTTGTAAACCTAAAATGATTTCCTTTCCTAAAAAGAAATCCGACTACAAGCTGACCAGTCACACTGAAAAACTCGTAAGTAATAGCAATGAAAATAATAAATGAAAAAACACCTTAACTGTCTAACCAAATTTTGTAGAACTATATGATTTTAAGCAACTCATTTCTTTTTAATCTCCTGTAGTCATATAATCATTTGCACATACATTGCTTCTCTAGTTCAGTGTCTTCATTAACCTACGTAAATGCAATTATGCGATGAGTGATCTAAACGCGACAAAGGAAGCTTCAAGTAATCATAATTTAACGTTTCATTCCAACTAAGATTATTCTCCTTTCTACTTCACCCTCCTTGTCTTTGTTTTTCAGAAGAGCTTTGATATACTAACCGAAGCATGTATGTGACATATCACTTCATTCTACGCCTAAGATAATAGTCCTGATGCTCCAGGAAAGTTACAGTTATTTTTACCAGAAGCCTGTTAAATGTTTATTCAGAAGATGCCATCAAGAAGACAAATATGCATTTACGTCACTATTTACAATTTCATGTGAAAAATATCAGCTTTCTGTGGTTTTGATCAGCGTTTCTTGAAAATACCTACCTAACTGAACAACCTATGATATTAAATGTGCAGTCGTATGGAATTAAACTGGCATGACTCTGTGGTTTTTCGGACTCACGAATGTAGATGTTTCAGTCAAAAAGCTATAAACACATCTATAAAACAATTCACTTCAGGTCACACGTGTTGTCCGAAATCTTTTAACGAAAATAAAAAGATGAGATATTCCAGATAGAATAAATGTAGTCGCTGGCGATTTCGTGGTGTCGAAAGAATACTGAAACGTGCCGTAGAACTAAGCGAAGGTGCAGAACAGCAAAAACAAGATGGTAACCTCGTTATTAGTCAGAGCGCGCTACGTAAGTACGAATAAGCAGATATTCGGTGAGAAGTTCAATGGCACAATTGGTCATATTATTGAATTTTGAGATTTAACCAGTTGTGTTTCTCTTCTTAAAAGTGATATTACCACACTTCATGTGACATATTGTTACGCGAGAATGAATTACCACTATTGTTAACAACTAGGGTAGGGTAAAAGAAACCGGAAAGTTTGACGAAGTGTCAAGAATTTTCAATAGATCGAGAAAACCCAAAGACAAGCAGAACCAGAGGTCAGGAATGAGGAGGATCGAAGGCATAGTTGAACGTTGGTTGGAATGTTTAGAAGTGAGTGAACTAAGCTTGCTAGTTGATGTGGAGGGATTCGTTGTACAGAGGAGCCGACGGTGATCTAGCGAGTATGCATGAACAAGTGTCTTCAGCCAATCTGTCCAGTACAGCTAATGAGGTCAGCATCAATGTTGATGACTCGCAGAACTTTTTATTTCGAGTATATTTTAGCGCTACAACACCATATAATCTGGCAGAGACGTTCAGAAGGCAGTTCTGACGGCCTAGACTGACACTTCTCTTTTCATTTAGGAATTCCGAGATTCCATCTATAAACCTTCATCAATAATCTGTGCAATGAGTCTTGCTTCTTTAGGTATCGCCACCAAACAGATGTAAAGTACAATTGGTCTAGTTACGAAAATATGAATTGTCAAAACTCACGCGCTACTAGCCATTGGTCGACAGTAAAACAGCATTACATAAAGGTTTTATTAAACTAAACTATTGGAAAAAACATTGAAAACACATGAGTTTATGTTATTCCATGTTTTCGTAAATGTAAAATGCTCCAAAGGACACGTATACTACTATGTTGGGCTAGTCTACTAACACACCTACTTGAGGCACTCCAAGTACGGAATGAAGGCCACTCAAGGTCTCTGAAACGAAAAGGCGGGGGTTTCGATTGCGAGTTGACCTTCATCGCGTGACCTTTTCTCGCCCATCGCCATCCAACCCTCTTCACATTAGCAACATAGTAAGTTAGAAACGGATCTCCAATCAAAATTGTTGATAAATTGATTCGTTTGATCATTGCTTTCAATTGGGACGTTGCTGTTAGTTTGACGGAGTATTTATGCACTTCTTTAAAGCCATTACAGCCAACCGATTGGGTTGCGCATTACAATTGTGTAGCGGACTAAAAACTCTATGGCCTTTGCTTTTGATTTAGGTTCCACGATTGTCTTGACCTAAGGCATTCGTTGTTGCTGGTTGTTGCCCATTGCAATCCTTATTAAATGGAAGTAGATTGTGTGCCCTCACTAGGTCGTCGGCTCATATTTTTCATCTATTTTTCTCGTTTCAGTCCCTATTTATCCATTATTATCTTTATCTTCCTCCAGAAAGCGAGGTATCTCGCTAGGCGCAAGCTTCTATATTGCATTTTACCGTCCAGATTTTATGCATTTCTAATTACGAGATCTTTCGTTGCAATAGCCAGCCAAGATGCTTTTTCTGAAAAAAATATCTAAAGACTGAGGAAATAATTTAGGCAATTCGCTTAGAATAGCGTCAAAACTACAATCTATAAAGGTGTGAACTTAAAGTGACCTTTAGTACATCTTTCGAGAATGAATCGCCAAACTTTAAATTCGTCATAGTAGGGTTCTCATATGTTTTTACACTTAGTATTTTATGTTCTAATCAAATGATACGGTTCTAAAACTTGATTACAGAAGTGTGATAGCAATGGTAACACGTAAGGTGTTAAGATCATGATGATTATTTGGTTGTGAATATTTAACTTATGTTCATTGCAGATAATCCAACGTGAAAAATGTCTGTTTGATATGTCCAGTTTTTCAAAATGCCGATACATTATAAGTGTCAGATAGCCTTTACACAAACGAACTACCACTTGCTATACCAATATAAAGTACTCCCTGTCCCCTTCCTTCTTTCAATGTCCTGACATTGGGGGGTATTCTCATTAGGTTGTGCCCAAAGTGTTCTAAAGTTGCGCTACCAACTCCAAGTTTCGGCTGTCAATTCGTCTCTACCTTTCGCTTGTGTTCTTTCTGTTTCTTAATGATGGGTTTTGTATTAAGTATAAGTGCATTCTGTGTACTGAATTCGTCAGCTCACTTTTATCGTTGTTTTCTGTTCTACGTATTCTCAAATGGAGCTCCTCACTCTCCGCGCATATGGTATCTTTGGGTTAGACGCGAACGTACCAAAGGTTGGACGTTACGACTGACTTTTGATGTATGACACCGCCCTGTGCCTACTGCCCTCAACAAATCAACAACAAGTTACCTTCCGAAATCTGATTAGTTTGTCCGTATACATCGTCCAAAAGTAATTCTCATACAAATGTTCGTCATTCACGTTAAATCTACCTATCACTAGTTGCTTTTCCATTTTTTCTTTTTGCCATTTACTGTCCCACAACCAAATATTTCTTGTTATGTGTATGGTAGTTCACGGTTGTCCGTATGTGAAAAACAGATCTCCAGACGTAGGCTATTTGACCTCGGTTTTGAAACTTTCTTAGAATGTCCTCTCAAATAATCAGCCCTAGTTGGCAAAGAAGAAACATATTTTTGCCAAAATCATCGTAATTAACGGCAAACCACTATTACACCACCTTCCGAAGCTGACCGAAAAGGAGAAATAAAGGCGAACATCACGGTGACTATTAGAGTTCTATATAGCCTTCTAATAGATTACTGCATACATCGTGAACGTTTCTGAAATCATACCCAACAGTAGTTATATGATACACCATATTGGTCTATGTGTCTGTTCTTTCGTCTATTCGTGTCGAGATTTTCAAATATGTTTGGTACCTTATTTTCAAGAATATTCTTTTTTGCTAGTCGTTCGTGTTTCCATTAATTATCAATTCATTTGTACTTAACCCCCCAAATAGATGGAGATATTGTGTAATTTTTGGATTATTCACCAAAGTTATATAAAAATTCGTGATTTTTTCAAATTCAGTGAAAATTTTGTGGGTTTCGGTTGCATTCCCCTGAAGTCGATAAGATGTTCCTCGAAATAGGGAGATTTAGTAAGCTTACGACAATAACTTTTTTTCTCCAAGTAACCTTCACTAATGAACAGCACTTCAATTTAGAAAACACTGTCATCAGAAGTTCACAACGTAGCACATCTTAAATAAAATTATACTTTATCATCCCTTAACTTTTCATGTTGACAGTATAAATGTGATGCTTTTGGTGAATTATCTGTTGCTGTCACTTCTTTTTCCCTGTAACATTTGATAAAAGCCGCTTTCTTCAACTCTCTCGACTATCGTTCACACATCTGTACTAAAAATGTCCTTTATTGAAAATACTTTCCGCTAATTCTGATGACTCACATAAAGGTTTGACCTCTACAGATACACAATCAGACGAATTCATAATATCGAGCGCTATTTAAGATTTTCCCTGCCGTAAACAGTTTAAAAGTAAAGTTTTCTCCATAACCACTTGTCTTTGGAATTTAGAATTCTATCCGGGACCAGTGATGAAATATTGTCAGCTGATTTTATATGATGTCCCTGAAAATACAGAGTTGGGAATTGATCTGAAGTTTTGGAAGGTTGGCAAACACTTTAAAGGCATCAAGGATATACCTCTGGGAATACACTTTGTCTACTATAGGTAAGTTGTTTACTAAAGTTTCTCATCTCATTTAGCTCTGAGGGGTCAGATGGTTCGCCAACCAAAGGACGGGTGTACTGCGCAGCAGTTCGCCCCGTTCTCCTATATGGATGCGAAACATGGCCGTTAAGAGTAGAAGACGTTCGTTGGTTACTAGTATTCGATCATAGATGTTTAAGAAGCATTGCTCGTATACCGTAGGACAACCCAGTAAGCAATGCTGTCGTTAGGAAACGAGTACTAGGTAAAGATGGCAGATGAATAGATGAAGTAGTGAAAATTCATCAGTTGAGGTGGTTGGGACATGTGTTACGAATGCCTAACCGTTGACTGCCTCGACGAGCTATGTTTTGTGGTGTTGGAGTAGGTTGAAAGAAAGCTAGGGGCGGCCAGACCAAAACATGGCAGAAATGCATGAAGTCACTGACAAGTGGTAGATGTAAGTTACCTGGTTGGGGTTCGCGAGACGAAAGTCACCAATGGTTAGAGACCTTGAACGACATGGCTGAAAATCGTTTGCAATGGCGCAAGTGCCTTTCAAATCCTAATCTTCTGGAATCGTCAGTACCTCTACCTTTGTCTTTCTAACCTTATCTCACTGAATTATACTTCTTGAATAATATCTTCAAACCCTAGTCTTCTTCATTAGCATTAATACTTCTATTATCTTTATCACTATGGGATTTGATTTGAGCTTTGCGTCTCTGTGCTAATGTGGCATGGCAACTTGAACTTATGTACATACGTACGAAGTTCTACGTTGCAACTGACTGACTGGTCAGATAGTTTCCTCAGCCCCTACTCAATGAATGAATTTCAAGCTTGTGATTAGTTATGAAGTAATATAAATATTTTACCTCGGACATCTATTTTGATAGTACAGCTGTGGCGTACCCAACCATTTTTAAATAGGGCATTTACAAAAAATGATTTCTTTCCTAACCCCTGTCTTGTAACATATAAGCATTCATAAATTCATAGTTATGATGTAAAATATCTGTGACAATTATTCTCTAAATGGGTCTGTGGTGTAAATTACTCGCCTGGCAGTTGAATGGTTACGGAATATGGTATTCCAAGTTTAGAGAGTTTGAGAAGACAATAAAGTGTAGTCTTTTTCGAAAGTAATTAGTAGAAGTATCTACTTAGATTTTAATAAGTTGCTTAAGAATTTTCGGATGTACACTACTTCTGGTGTTCTATTTGTCTCTTATTTTAAACAGTTCTGTAAATTCAGACTGTATTTCAGGCCAACGTGTTGGATTCGTAGCAAATTTTTCTCAACCTGGTTTCATTGTTAAGAAGTGGCAAAAAGAACAAGAGGGTAATTTTTTATGTGCTGTTTAATAAATCAATATCTTTTTTGTCCTTTTGTCCAGATTTCATTGATGTTAATTTGACTGATGATGAAGTAGAGCGTATTAATTCGAATTTCCATGAAATTTCCATGTATCTGGGGCAGTATCCTTCAGAGTCGTAAGTTACTTACACCCTAGTTGACTTGAATACAGTTTTGAGGTCAGAACTCTTAATAATATGATACTTTCTTCTAAGTGCCAAGTTACTTACTTCAGTACATTCTTAGGCTCCACAGCAGATTATTCAGAAATTTTACTGTGTTGTTTTTAAAATGGTTTTTAACTGTTAAAGTTGACATCCATCTTTATCAAAGTACTGATTTATATCTTGTCACAGTGCAAGTAAATGGATCAATATATACATAATTTACCGTTTTTTGAGACCATGTTAAACATTCACCAGATTTGTCTTACCACCTGTTATTCTCAGCTTTCAGTCCGTCAGCTACAACGTAGAACTTAGTACGTATGTCATCATTTCAAGTTACCATAAAACATTAACACAAAGAGATGAAATTCTCAATTCATATCTCACAGTAGTAAGTGTAGTAGCAGTATTAGCCTCACTGTACAAGATTGCAGATCGAGATCATAAAGAACTGAAAAGATTAGAACTTCAGAAAAGAGAAAGAACGGATTTACCTTCACCATCGCAAGTTATTTTGAGCCATATCTTTCAAAGTCTCTAAACATCGATTATGATTTTTTCTTGGACCCCAACCAGGTATTCTACATCTACTAACATGGCTCAGTCCAGTTGTCAATGACTTCATGTTTTGGCTTAAGCACCTCTAGCCTTCTTCCAGCCTACTCCTACGTCAAACAACATTGCTTGTCAAGGTAGTCGATGGTTGGGCATACGTAACTTATGTTCCAACAACCTCAACTGGCGCAGATTCACTACTTTATCAATCGATTCGCCATCCTAACCTAATACCTTTTCCTTAACCCTAGCAGTCAGTCAGTCAGTTGCAACGTAGAACTTCGTACGTAAGTACATCAGTTCATGTCGCCATACCACATCAGCACAGAGATATAATTGTCAATTCAAATCCAATAGTAGAAGAGGTAGTAAAGGTATTAGAAGTAATCGGAGAGGTTAGGATTAGAAGATATTATTCAAGAAGTATGATTAAATGAGAAAAGTTTAGAAAGACAAAACTAGAGGTGTTGAAGAACCCAGAAGATTAGGATTTGAGAGAACCTTAACCCTAGCATTGTTTACTCGGTGGCCCTAGGATATACGATCAGTGTTTCGAATACCAGTAACCTACGAATATCTTTTACTCTTAGTGACCGTGTTTCCCACCTGTAAAGCAGAACAGAGTGAAGTGCTGCTCATCACTTAGTAAACGGATGTCTCTAACATGCTTGCATTGTTGTTTCACTTGGTCAGCGTCAGCGTCGACCAAACCGCACTGTATCGTCTGCATATTCCAAGTCAACTAGTGAATCTCCCGGTAAAAGTTCACTCCTCAAAAGTCAGATGAAAGTGTTGTCTCTAAAATCATGTCAATGACAAAGTTAGATGAGAATGGAGAAAGCGGACAACCCTAGAGAATACCAGTTACGAATTATTATTAATTCAGATGGCGGTTTGCCATATGCTCTTACTCGACCAGTACTGTTTGAGTAGAGGATCTGTACAGAGTTAATGTACTTCTTTGGTACTCCTTTCAATCACATACTATCACAACATCACAATAGGCAAAGTCGAACACCGCTCTAATGTCGAGGAATATAACTATTGTGAGACGTCGAAATGAGTGTCTTTTTTCTAGGACCTGACGAAGTGTGAATATTTGGTCTGTATATCCACGTTCAGTTCTGAAACCAGCCTGGTTTTCTCGAGTCTTCTCTTCATGAGCCCTTATCAGGCTTTGATGAGTTATTGAAGCCAATTTCCCTATCTAGTTTTTAATGCTTATTTATTTTGTTCTAAGATTCCGTTTACATCCCCAAATTCTTCTTGTAAATCTAGACACAGAGATTGGATTTCGTTGTCTAACTTTATAACAACGTGTACGTTAACTCGTCTTGTCCCCTACTGCGGTCGTTTGTATTCTTGTCCACACTTCTTATCTGAACCCTCTAATACCCAAGAACGGCTAGCTTGTAAAAATTCAGATACGACTGATTGTTCAAATAAAAATCCAGAAGACCTTCTACCGAATTTATCTATTGTTCCTGGTACAGAGGTAAGTATTGTGTTTGCTTTTCACTCACACAAACTTTTTTCTAGTGATAATTTTAATACTTAAGGAATGTTCGGCTTATATTCTTATTCTTACCTCTTTAAGCCTCACTCCGTCTTGGTGATGTATGCTCTAACCAAACACTTGAATTAAATATCTTGTGGAGATGTTACTCATTAGTCTTAGTATTCAGTTTACAACCGCTGAAATACTATTTTATCAAAATTTCAGCACACGTGTGGTAGTTCTGTACATAATCTAACGCATGTGTCTGTATTTTTTTTTATAAATCTGTTCCCTTTTTCTTCTTAATTCCTTAAACCCTTGATAATGCCTTAACATTTTTTCTCATAGTACACAGTCAGTCAGTCAGTCAGATGTAACGTAGAACTTCGTACGTAAGTACATCAGTTCATGTCGCCATACCACATCAGCACAGAGATATAATTGTCAATTCAAATCCAATATTAGAAGAGGTAGTAAAGGTATTAGAAGTAATCGGAGAGGTTAGGATTAGAAGATATTATTCAAGAAGTATGATTAAATGAGAAAAGTTTAGAAAGACAAAACTAGAGGTGTTGAAGAATCCAAAAGATTAGGATTTGAGAGAACATAAAGAGTAAATGCAACGGCGCCATTGCGAACGATTTTGAGCCATGTCATTCAAGGCCCCTAACCATCGATTATTATCATCTCGCGGACCCCAACCATATAGTCGACAATTACTGACATGTCTAAGACCACTCGTCAATTACTTCATGGATTTCTGCCATGTTTTGGTTTGGCCGCCCCTAGCTTTGTTCCAACCTTCTCCTACACCACAAAACAAGGCTTGTCGAGGCAGTCGGTGGTTAGGCATTCGTAACACATGTCCCAACCACCTCAACTGATGAATTTTCATTACTTCATCTATTGACTTGCTATCCTTACCTAGTACTCGTTTCCTAACGACAGTATTGCTTGTACGGTTGTTCCATGATACATGAGCAGTGCTTCGGAGACACCTATGATCGAAAACCAGTGACCTACGAATATCTTCTACTCTTAACGGCCATGTTTCACAGCCATAAAGTAAGACGGAGCGGACCACTGCACAGTACACTCGTCCTTTAGTCAGCAAGCGGATATCTCGTCTACGCCATAAGTGACGCAGGTTGGCAAAAGCCAACTGAGCTTTCTGTATCCGAGCTGAGATTTCGTCAGTCACCAGGCTATCAGCACTGATGAGACTCCCAAGATAAGTGAAGCGGTCTACACGTTCGACTACTTCACTCCCTATCACTAGTTCAGGTGCCGATACAACCCAATCTTAAAGCAACATTTTGCATTTCGAGGGGGAAAACCGCATCCCGAACATGCTTGCATTGTTGCTTAGAGTAGTCAGAAGACTGCATTTTGTCAGCGTCTTCACTGAATAGGACTATGTCATTAGCATACCCTAAGTCAGCAAGCCTGTCTCCTGGTAAAAGGTCTACTCCTGAAAATTCAGACGATGATAACGTTAACTCTATTAGCATATCTATGACAAAGTTAAACAAGAATGGAGAGAGTGGACAGCCCTGACGGCTGCCACTTGAAGTAGACAATTCGGGTGACAGTTCACCATAAGCTCTCACTCGACCAGTGGTGTTCGAGTAGAGAGCTTGTATAAGGTTAATGTACTTCTTTGGTACACCTTTCAATGACATACACTGCCACAGAACCTCACGATCTACAGAGTCGAATGCCGCTTTTAGGTCCAGGAAAACAACTATTGTAGGACGCCTAAATGTGTGTCTATGTTCCAGGACCTGTCGTAGTGTGAAAATTTGGTCTATGCAGACACGTGCTTTTCTCGAGGCATCTCTTCACGAGCTTCAGTTAGGCGTTGCAGTATTATTGAGGCCAATATTTTAGATACTATATTAGTTAGACTTATTCTCCTGTGGTTGTCACAAGAGGACATTTTTCCTTTCTTGTAGATTGGGACAATCAGTGATTGAGACCAGTCGGATGGGATTGTGTCCAGATTGTGTCAGATTTCCTAACGCTTTCTCAACGTCATTAAGACTAGGGGGACTTACGTCGACTTGCCATTCAGGATGACTGGAGATTGTGGGTAACCGAAGTGTGGCTGGAGGCCAGTTGAACTGATCCCCAAAGTGTTCTGCCCATCGATCCAGTCTCCTGGATTGAGAATAAATAATAGTCCCGTCATTTTCTGAGATAGTCTCACTTACACTAGGATTCCTAATACCAGTTTCCATGATCAGTCGGAAAAGTTGTCTACTGTTGCCGATCGCCGCTGCCATTTCCATCTCTTTCGCCACCCACCACAGTTCGCGATCGTTACGTAGGCTTTCTATCAGCCTGCGCCTAAGTTGACTTCGTTCTTCATCATGTTCAGAGCCAGGTGGGATGAGTTTTCGGGCATTGATCAGATCGGCGGATGCTACTGAGATCCACGGCTTTATTCTAGCCTTATGGTCAACCTTACTAGCAGATATCACTGCTGTTTCCACAGCCTTCTTGATATCATTCCAACCTGCTTCCGGATGGGAATCGCTTAAATGGTCGCCTAACTGTCTTTCTAGTTGTTCCTGAAATATATTTTTCGCCTTATTATCATTAAGTAAAACCCTAAGAGGCTTTCTTACGGTGTCTTTCCTACGCTTAGTAAGCTTCAAACAAATACGCGCTCGCACTAGGGCATGATCTGAATCTGAACATGTGCCCCAAAACGAGCGACAGTCTTCTATCGAACCCCTCCATCGGTGGCTGATGGCGATGTGATCTAGTTGCGTCCAACGTTGAGACGACTTTGGAGGTCGCCAGGTCAACAGATGCTTTTCCTTATGCCTAAAGTTAGTGTTTGCTAAGAATAGGCGGTTATCTGAGCACAGTTGCAACAGACGGTCACCATTGTCTGTTCTCTGAGCCGCGACACCATAACATCCACATAGGTGTCTTTAATTTTCACCTAGTCTACCTACTTGAGCATTAAAGTCACCAGCCATTATTACTATATCAGAGCGCCTAGCTTTTTAGAGGAGGTCCGAAAGCTTTCTGTAAAACTCATCCTTAACCTCGTCTGAACTGCATTCAGTGGGGACATAGGCAGATACGACGAAGAGGCAACGGCGATTGTCCCTATCTTTCCGAGTCCTTACTGTCCCGTTTAGTCGGACAGCGCACAAGCGACTATCTACTGGGATCCAGTCAAGGAGTGATTGTTAAGCTCTACGACTCAATGCTATACCTACACCAGCGAGACCCCTGGAAGCAGCATCAGGGCTACCGGATACCCGAAGAGTAAATCGAGCTGCTTCTTTATTTTGACAAGGTGAAATCAGATTAATAATTTTACTAGGATCCTGTATGCGCGTTTCCGAGACGCAGCATACATCGATTGAGCGAGATTCTAAAGTCTTAAATAATGATGCCTGTTGCCCTATTTGACACAATGTCCGTACATTAAATGCTCCAACATTTAGTCTAGAGCGGGGTTTCAGGAGACCAGAAACGACGTTTCGTGAACTCGCATCGTCTGCATTAACTGTGCACTGTGATAAATGAATGTGAGAAGAGTTAGTCGTGGAGATAAGAGAGGTACTAGGGGGTGTAGGAAGAATTTGATTTTGACCGATTTGGTCTCACGTGCAGTAATGAGTTTGAGAGCGGTTTTCACTTCCCGGTTGCCCACACCGTGTTGGTTTCTCGAGGAACCTGAAAAGAAAGGTATATTAGTGTTGGTCTTAGAGACCTGGATGCGTGACCTCAGATCCCAACGGACAACTGCTTGAGGCCGGTCACTCACGGCTTTTTTATGAAAGGTTTTTTGAGTATTAGCTCCGCCATTGAATGCCCTTAGCGGGCACTCTTACCGCCGGCGACGAAAATCCGTGAGATAGGGTGAGGTGTGACATTTTTAGGGTCGACCTTTTCTAACCGTTCCTTCCTAGTGAGAAGGCAGCATCGCTGCAGATGCTGGTTGTCCGAGGGAAACATCTTACTGCAGTCAGAAGTACGACTTCTCCCTCAGACCTTGGTTAGCTGCTTTTAGTCTCATCGTTCTCCAATCGACCTGCCTGGCATGGTAGAACCTTCAGGAAAATATGTTCGAGTCAATATTGCTCGGTTGGGTCATCACAAAAGGCCCGACCATCACGTCAATGTAGCAGCTTCAGTCGGGTCTACCACCAGCTAAGTAATCTATAGAAAGTGCGGTCGCAGATATTGTAGCACTAGCCGAGGACTTGGATGAGCAGGTCGGGGCCGTAGGCACAAAGGAGTGTCACCCGGGCGACCGCTGGTGACTTGATGATCGCAGGCCAGATTTCGGCGATCATACGTCTCTACCTTGCACAAACTACAGCTTGTTTCTGACCGTCACTAACTATCGCCACATTTATAGCTTATGTGCTGCCTGACATTTTCGCTCTGTATCTCAAGTCTGAACTCATATTGATCACAACACGATCTACTACCACTGTCGTGGTTGTGTACAAGACTGCCACTCCTTCTGCAATACTTACCAGGACTTTGATCATACTCTTGTTCGTGCCAGTCTTCTCTTAACTAATATAGTATCTAAAATATTGGCCTCAATAATACTTCGACGCTTAACGAAAGCTCGTGAAGAGCAAACTCGAGAAAACCAGTCTGGTTTTCGACCTGGACGTAGTTGTATAGACCACATCTTCACACTACGACAGGTCCTGGAACATAGACACACATTTAGGCGTCCTACAATAGTTGTCTTCCTGGACCTAAAGGCGGCATTTGACTCAGTGGATCGTGAGGTTCTCTGGCAGTGTATGTCATTGAAAGGTGTACCAAAGAAGTACATTAACCTTATACAAGCTCTCTACTCGAACACCACTGGTCGAGTGAGAGCTTATGGCGAACTGTCACCGGAATTCTCTACATCAAGTGGTGTCCGTCAAGGATGTCCACTTTCTCCATTCTTGCTTAATTTTATCATAGACATGCTCCTAGACATAACATTATCCTCGTCTGAATTTTCAGGAGTAGACCTTTTACCAGGTGGCTCGCTTATTGACTTAGAATATGCCGATGACATTGTCCTACTTGGTGAAGATGCTGACAAAATGCAGAGTCTTCTGACTACTCTAAGCAACAATGCAAGCATGTTCGGGATGCGGTTTTCCCCCTCGAAATGCAAAATGTTGCTTTAAGATTGGGTTGTATCGGCACCTGAACTAGTGATAGGGAGTGAAGTAGTCGAACGTGTAGACCGCTTCACTTATCTTGGGAGTCTCATCAGTGCTGATAGCCTGGTGACTGACGAAATCTCAGCTCGGATACAGAAAGCTCAGTTGGCTTTTGCCAACCTGCGTCACTTATGGCGTAGACGAGATATCCGCTTGCTGACTAAAGGATGAGTGTACTGTGCAGTGGTCCGCTCCGTCTTACTTTATGGCTGGGAAACATGGCCAGTTAGAGTAGAAGATATTCGTAGGTTACTGGTTTTCGATCATAGGTATCTTCGAAGCATTGCTCGAATACCGTGGGACAACCGAGTGAGCAATGCTATCGTTAGGAAACGAGTACTAGGTAAGGATGGGAGAGCAATCAATGAAGTAATGAAACATCATCAGTTGAGGTGGTTGGGACATGTCTTGCGTATGCCGAACCACCGATTGCCTCGACGAGCCTTGTTTTGTAGTGTAGGAGAAGGTTGGAAGAAAGTTAGGGGCGGCCAAACCAAAACATGGCAGAAATCCATGAAGTAATTGACGAGTGGACTTAGCCATGTCAGTAATTGTCGACTATATGGTTGGGGTCCGCGAGATGATAATAATCGATGGTTAGAGACCTTGAATGACATGGCTCAAAATCGTTCGCAATGGCGCCGTTGCATTTACTCTTTATGTTCTCTCAAATCCTAATCTTTTGGATTCTTCAACACCTCTAGTTTTGTCTTTCTAAACTTTTCTCATTTAATCATACTTCTTGAATAATATCTTCTAATCCTAACCTCTCCGATTACTTCTAATACCTTTACTACCTCTTCTAATATTGGATTTGAATTGACAATTATATCTCTGTGCTGATGTGGTATGGCAACATGAACTGATGTACTTATGTAAAAAGTTCTACGTTGCATCTGACTGACTGACAGTCTTCTCTTACGTTTCAGTGCCCGACAAGTTCATCATCCTAAGTGAATTGATTTTAGTAAATCAATTTCAACTTCGGTTGCAAATAAATTTCAAACCGAGCTAGGTTCAACGCTTACGATCGACCTACCGAAAAGTATAGATAAGCACCAGTTGCAATTGCACTATGCCATAAGGATGGTGTGTAAAGTCTCTTGTGGCTTCGCGGAAAGTCCTGCTTATAAGCTTCGGGTTTTTACAGGCTCCTCACAACTCATTGAGGCTGATTAGTCTATGCCGAGTAACCACAGGCATGAAGATAAACCTAGATGGTTATGTAATCGAGTAGTGCAACGTTTGAACAAGGATTGAGAAACCTGATGGTTGGAGTGTGCTAACAAGTTGGAAACAGAAGTTGCATCTGGTAACTGTCAGAATCTGTTTCAACTCACCGGAGTCACTGATAGCAAGAAATCTGGCATGAGTGGAACAATCTGTGAAGCTAATGTGACAACAAGCAAACGGAGGAGTGCAAGGAACTCCAAATCTCAGGCACCACTGGTCATCAGGTCTAGATGACCCTGCCCCAGCCCTTTTTAAAGATGTTAGCGACCTTGGTTAAGAAACTTACTGAGCTGTACGTAAACATCTATTATTTAGAGAGTTCATTGAAGAAAGGTGTGTGTGAGAAATTTATTAACAAACAAGCAAGGTGGAGTGAGGGCAGACAGCCACCTCTCTCCATTGTTTCATTCAAGTAGTGAGGTGAAGCAGTTTTGCTCAGTATCACCTTTCCCCTTCAATATTCTGTCGATGGTGTCTTAGAATCAGTTCTGATGGATGTGGGTAACGATGGTGTGAACTGTTCCCTGGAGCAAGACTTCTCGACCTTGACTGTGCGATGATTCCTTGGTCATGTGATCCGCACTTAATAAGCTGACAATCAGTGTCTATAGGTATGGCATGTGTTTTTCACCTTTCAAGTGCAAAGTACTTTTACAAGACTAGCAGGTCCCTAAACCCGCACCTCGTCTTTGTCATGAGCAGACTGAAGTAGTTGCAAAGTTCGCCTACCTAGGTAGTTGTGTTAGTACGAGTAGTGGCATGAGTGGTGAGATTGATTCACGTCTACAAAGAGCTAAAGTGGTCTATGCCGATCAGGGCCATCTCTGGCTCTATAGTAATGTTAGTGTGTCTTTAAAACCTTTGTTCTACAATCGGTTGATGAGAGCTTTTTCGCTTTTTGCTTGTGAAAACTGGCCTCTCCGAGTCAAAGATGTCAAGCGACTCTCTGTGTTTTGTCATTGTTGTTTTCTAAGGACTGCTGACATTCAGTGGCAACACCATGTTAGTAATGTAGAGGCTCGGAGACGTGTGCCTGGGCACAGTGACGGTAACTCAATTGGTGTGTCACAATCTTGAAACACTGACTTCGGTGGTTTGGACAGGTGTAACAAATGTCGTTCCAGGGAACACCATATCGTGCATTATTCGCCAACGCTGGGACGTATTGGAAATAATGGAGAGGTGGGCAGTGTATGATATGATGTCATGGTATGAAAGAAAGCTGTACAGGACTGGCATCTGTTGGTCCTTCATGAATTTCTGGTTGGGGTCCTAGTAATGGTGAAACTCACTGTCCTACCACTACATCAAGGTGGCAACTGTGATTAGGGAGTTTTTAACACTATGTAGTGTGAATTATTTCACTTGTTAAACAACTAAACATATTTTAGTACTTTATAGATTTGCTAACTTTCTATTTTTCACTCATTTCAGGTGCGTTTTACCTCAATTCCAACAAAACCACTCTATCCACCTCTTTCGTCTCCATCGGAAATCACTGCTCATTGTATGGATCAAACATACACTCTCTGTGCCACACTAGATTCCATCTTCTTGAGCATCGCTCCAGAGCAAGCCACTGGTGTAAATAAGGATCTTGAATCTACTCGTGAATTGCTTGGTGAATTTCAGTTTGCTTTCCTTAATTTACTCCTAAGTAGGTATTCTTATTAAATCTTTTAAAATTTTATATATATTTCAATTTCAAATTCTTGCGTAAATAAATAGTATGCTTTGATCATAGTTTGTGATTTTGACACTCGAATTTTACGTCTTAGTAGCTTTAGCAATGTGTTGGATGTTGTAGTAGACTCTTGACAGTGTATAAATCAAACTACGTAATTAGCTTAGTTTTTTTTTTCAAGAATAATTTTCGTTACAGTGAATTTAACGATAGATGTATTTGGCTTGACATTTTCATTGTAGATCATTCATTAGAAGGCTGGGAGCAGTGGCGTCGTATATTCCAATTGCTTGCTAATTGTGAAAAAGCTATTGTTAATTATCCTAATTTGTATATTGACTTCATTACGGTTATTTATCATCAGTTAAATAATGCAAATAAATCGGACGTGTCAAGCAACAATTCATCTGTGGAATTACTAGATATTTTCTTTTCAGAATCATCTAGCTCTAATACTCAGCTCAAATTAACAGAACCTGGTTTTCTACCAACTATGATTGGAAGGCTTTTGAAGAATATTAATTCTGTTTGTATTTCTGAAATGAATATCACTAACAAAACTCATCCTAGTGAAACTGGTAGTATACTGAAAGATCTATGTAAACGTGCAGACGGCTTTGCTCATAGCATAAAACACCGATTCAAATGGGATATGATCACTTCTTATCAGTTGTCACAAAGGTGTACTCCGGATGTAACTGAAATTCCTATTGAGGAATTTGACTGGGATGGCGATGAAGCACCTGTCATTGTACAGCTATAATCTAGTCTGAAATAAAAATTACTGATAATATTTTTCATCACACTGTATCCATATTTTGTGTATGTTCATTTCTACATTGAATGGTCTTTAAAATGCCAAAATATTTTAAAACTAATTTTTATCATCCTCGTTGCTCTCATGTCTTTTCTACATGAAAACTCTTTAGTTAAAATCAATGCATATTCAGTAACTGTTGAGTGCAAAGTTGAGATACCGAACAGAGATTTGTAATTCCAAATAAATCTTCAATTATTAGTTAGTATAATTTCAATTTTTGTTATGATCCCATGTGTAGTTCATTCATCAAGTTTAAACCTACAGGTTTGAGTTACACCTAGCCACTACAGCTCTGCAGGAATTTTACCGAAAAAAGTACGGACAGTATCAGATCATTAATTAGTTTAAACTTTAGAAGGGAGGTAATGACATTCTAGCTGTCCCTGAGCTGTCAATTCGGGCTTTTTATTCGTATTTCAGGTAAGTTATGGTCGACGTAATCTGCTTTGATGTGCTGTATTTGAGTCTGATTCTTTATCTAACATTAGTTAAGTGTCTGTACCAGATATACTAACTTTACATCTGCTTGTGTATCGCCGCAAACAGTGAGTCTAAACAGTCACTCTTTATGATGATCTGCGAGAAGTAGTCGGCAAGTTCGCATATCTGAGCTACTCATGAATGTTTCTAGTAGTGTGGTATTTGATATCAATCTGCTTATAGTGAAAGCCAGAATGATATACGCAAACTTATGTCATTTCTGGCGTTGAAATAATGTCAGTATGATTGCAAATACTCAGGTTTACTATGAATTGATGAAAGCAATTCTGCTTTATACTTATGAAACCTGTTCCCTTCAAGTTCAAGGTGTTCGATGAATTTCTGTCCGATCACCGTTGTACGGAGAACTGCTCACATCTGTTGGCAACACCATGTTAGTAATACTAATGTCCACATGTGTATTCGGGCACAATTATAATAAACCAATCGCTGGCTCCAGTGGTTTGGATATGTCTTTCTGATTTCGTCTTACAGGCTTTCACACCAAGCATTAACTGTGGACTCTGGGACTGGGTTGAAAAAGCGGATAAGTGATCAGCCTACGATATAGATGCGTTATATCAAAAAGTGCTATATAAAACTGACATCAGTCAGTTAATCACAACTTCCTGGTTGAGGTCATAAAAATATACGGAACTTCCTTGAATGAAATATTTCTTGATCGTATTAGTAACTAAACTGTATCTTCTACTTTGAGCTGTTCTTGTTTTTCTAATTACTTTTATTTTACTTCTGATTATACTTTCTTTCCTTGTATCCCTTTATAATGTTCTCGTACTTTTTTGGAACCTGATTGTTCCTGAATTTATATGTAATAATGAGAGATTGGGATCTTTGAATAATTCAATATGGTAGTTGTTCAATTTAATATTTTGTCGAATTCTAACCAAATTAATCATTCGTTTTTCCTATGTGATATTCTGTTGTATTTTAATGATTTTTATCGTGTCCACTCTGTTTCGGCATTTATTCAGTACGAAATTCGTTATAGTTGTGTGAATGTATTCAATAATCATCAAACAGTAAACCTGTACAAAAAAGTAATATATGTCCATAATACACATTTGCAGCCACCGACTAGACTTGCTTTTCATTGTCTCCTTAATTGTAGGGTACTGAGTGGTGAATTTCGTTTCTACGTCTCAAGTGAGAGGGTCTAGTAAAGTATTCTTGATATATTTCTATTCAACGACTGCAAATAATTTAGTTCACTGCATCCTGACTCGTATGATGGTACTTACTGTTGCTCTATGAGCATGTTTGTTATCACATTAACTAGATGTACCCATTGCTATAAACAGGACATTGTAAAACGACTTCATATCATCTAAAGGAAGGGTAGTAGTAAGATGTTGAGATTATGTTTAGGTAGACTTGTAATCTTTAAAAAGGGGTGATTTATTAGAGCATCTATAATGATAGTGAGAAAAGGTCACAGAAATAACCTTCAAAGGACGATGATACGGTGCTCAAGATTTAGGTTGAACTGTCTCGGTCCAGTCGCTTATGACATTTTAAATATTCTGTTGATGTTTTGTATATAAACATATCGTTCTATCTCATAAATAACCCATTTTTTGGTTGTATGTCTTGCTTGGTTTCAAATCAGTCAGAGGATTAATTCAGTAATTTGTTTTCATGAGCAGCCATCATTACTGCAGTACACTCCGTTTATTGGTCAACTTTCTGTTAATACAAGGGTTGTGGAACAAATGGCAAAAAATTGACTGACAAGTCCTCATTGTTTGAAATGCTTTGCGTAACCTATGAATATGAACAGGATTAACGAAATACACAAAACGAGAGCTGATTCACTTCAGTTACATCTGACTCTACTGAGTTGCGTTGCCTCTATAATCTTTTCCAAGGATATGTTTTGTGATGTGTTTTAATCTCACTGGCACCTATGAACATTTCCTAAGACAGCATTTGGTATGGAGGCTCCATTAATTCTCGTTGATAATTCCCAAGGTCTAGAGTGAGTTTTGTGGTCGTGGATAGTCGATCGTTCGCCAAAATGAAATCCCGCAAAATCCAATAAGATATTTTTGTTCAACCAAGATTTCATATGCTAAAAAGTCATTTTAGTCCCCAAGAATGAAGGGAGTCCGCTCGGAATTTTCTCATACGACCACGCCTTTATAGCCACTACCTAGGAAATCTTACTTGTAGCGGTGGTGTTGTTTACGAACTTGTGAGAACCCGGCGCTTGAATCGGGTTGATGGGTACGGACGACAAACCTAGAGGAGTTGGAAAATCTGTTCTCTTTGTCTTCTTACCTGTATAAAACCTTGATTATGACTGAACTTTTTTTCTCATGATAGTACAAAACCGTAAAGTGATGTCACCAAAATCTGGTACTGATTTCCTTATTAATCTCGTTTATCTAAAGAAAGCACAAACTTACCACTACCTTCTCATGGTGGCGATGTTGTTACGAAATTGAGAGGAGGAAAAGCGAGTGTTTGTTGGTGAATGCGGAGGATAAGATCTCTAACTCTAAGGCTCAGGGATTGGCCCCCTAACAAGACCACTTGTTTTGCCCACACATAACTCATTGGGTTTGTTTGGCGCTTACGTATTTAGGCACCTTTGTACCTATGTTTTTGTTTAAACACAATAGAAAATAAATAATTTTGGTTGTCACTTGAAATTAGAGGGGTTATGTCGATAAAAAAAATGTGCACTATCTTGTTTTGATACATAGAATTTGACGCGAAATTCGAAAAGCGATTTTCTTTGAAATAATACAAGTTAAATGGTAGGATGGTTTGTTGAACAACATCGGAGTATTCATAAACATTTATCGTCTGTCTGTAGTATTCCGAAGGAATCCCACATCGAATGGATTAAAAAAATCTACGGAGTGGATTGTGCATCACAATTGTTCAATGAAAACGAAGTTGCCCTGAATAATTTGATCTCGACACCCATGAGTACAATAAAGTCCCTAAATTACAGAAACACAAATTCCCAACCACTATCTAACAAAATGCTAATGTTTTCTGAAAAAATTGTCTTTGGTTTGACGATACAAACAACAAAACTTACATATGAATAAGCCAACAGAAATTAGTTTTAAATTGTTAGCTACTTAATTGTAGTATAGTAGTATGGTGTAGAATGCATTATGTTAAAGATTTTAGAATTTACAAAAACTTCAAAGAGTAACCGAAATGCTCGATAATATTATTAACATTATCACTATTTTCATAAAAATGGGAATAACAATCTTTCGTTTCTAAAATAAAATTAAAATATACTTATGCAAGATGTAGAAATTCAATTTAGGTTATACCATTTGCATGAACGTCAAAGACTGATACACGATTAAGAGACTGGTAATGATACCTACTTTATGTATATAATAACAGTTAAAGTTAAAGCAGAAAAATGTAAACTTCAATTGATTAAAAGGAAACTCTAGCCATCCGATAATAATTATTGTTATTATGGCACTTAATGAGTATTTATATATTATCTGTGGTTGTGCGTTTGATTATTTCATTACATACGAAAGTCATATCCGAAGTAATGCTTTAAACTCACGTTGTCAATGGGTTAATCGGTGTCTTTTTTAGCGGTTGATGACTGCAAATAACTCTTTCGAGAATGTCGTCGTTACAGTTTTGGTCGATGAATGTTGAAATGTTGTTATTATTTTCATGTGAATTCACTGAGTTTGCCTGGGATGCAAATGATGTGCGAATTAATGATGGTCTTTCATAACCTAGTGAGTCAACACCACCGCCAGTTTCCACTAACCAATAGGCTGTTAGGCTGCGATTATTGGTTGACCCACTACTACTATGAGGCATGGTGTCCACCACGCTGGTTGATTTTGAATTAAATGACTTAGAATGTAGTGGTTTACAATGTGCATGGTTGTAGGTAAACGGAACTGCATGACTTCCTTTTTGATCACTGTTGTTAGCATTAGTGATACTGAGGGTGGTGAATTTATTACTGTGGTTACAACTATTATCATCTTGATAACCCAAAGTCTTGTAAGAATTCGCTTTTGTGTCATTTTGGTTGCGTAGTAAGGTATCTAGACAAAAGTTTGAACTTAGTGGTTGAGTTTGCTTCTGTTGATGCTGCAAAATCGCATTTGTTGAGTTTGTCATTTTATGGACTCCGTTCTCTGTATTACCGTGTATTGACTGCGACTTCAGCTTAATCGAGGCTTGTCTATTACTTTCAGTACCGTTTGATGTAGTTGCCAACGTTGTTTGTTCCGTGGATGGATCGGACATAGAACATTCATAAGCACCAGCCAGCGGTGCAGTTGACGAGGTGTAAATTTGGTTTTCCATTCGAGACTCACGGTAGTTAAACTTATTCATACTGATGCCTTCAACACCAGGTGTTACGATGTAACCACGCGTCACTGTTTCTGCCAATGAACGGCTTTTTGTGTGAAATGTCGATGGTTTCAAATCTTTGGAATTGTTGGATGACAGTAAAAGTTGTTTACTAGAGCTCATTCCTTGAGATAGGTTGGTCTCATTAATTAATGATGAATCCATATCGCTTACTGGGCGTCCACCATCTAGAGATGTTCTACGTTGACAGTTAGCAGAAAGCATGCAAAGGGATAAATCATTTGATTCATGATGTGGCCTATTGGAACCATAAATGGATGCTTGTTGACCTGATGCACCTGTATAAGAAAATGGTAAATGGTTATTATTTTTCGATGATGTCAAACATAATCTGTCATTCAATAAACGTTTATGCATGAACTATTTGTTTTAATGCTTAAGTCTTATCAATTGATACTTAAAAGGGGAAGAAAATTGCGTTAATCATATATATTTTTCCACAGTGTGTTTAGATATGCTTCGGCTTAGCTGTAGATAATGCAATTTAGGCACTTTCTAACTACCTGCTAATTTCCTTAAACTTACAACTCAATAAAATGTTTTTGACTCATATAAAGCCTAAACATAAACAGGTCTGGTTAGTTCTAAGAAGAAGAAGTTTTGATTCAAACGAGTTGCGAATCAAGAACTGGCGGAAAATTTAAATCAAGAAGAGACTATCGGAACACACGGAGATCCGATTGTATAGAAATACCTATCAACAAAAACAAATGTGATATGATAACAGAATGCTACTGAATACTGTGACTATATAGGCCAATTTTGTCTGTATACGTCTAATTGAACTCTTATCTTAGTGTTACGACATTAGATCTTCAATACAGCTAAGGTTTATAACTGAATGAAATACTACGTTTATTGTTTCCTGTAGTACAAATAACTAATATTTCAAGCAATTTTTTTTTTTTTCAAAAGTTCCAAGTCATACCTTGTAAACTTTTAGGCAACGGCAACGATACAACAAATGGTTGAGAGAAGGGGCTTTTAGTATTTTGTGAAGCCATAATGAATTCATCCATTTTTTTGCATAACTGTCCAAATGTTGGTCTCATTTCGGTGAATCGACTCCAACATTGTAATAGTTGATTATAACTGAAGGTAAACAGACAGTAATTGTTTTACTAAGCTGTTTTACAAAATAATTGAATAAACAGTGTTATAGTAATATGCAAATGTATTGGAAAATTATTTCATTCATCCATCAACACGTCATTTGTATGGTAATTTGAAATAGAAATACTCAATAAATGAATTCAAAAATATTGAATTACATTCGGTCTTAAAATAATTTCAAGAAAAAAAAGACTGATAATTTGATATTGATGTAAAATGGCATGAGGTCTACAAATCTTACAAGTGTTACTACAATAGTCTTGAAACTATCACAAGTACTGACAATTTATCAATTACTCTGCTCTATAGTTAGGCCTAGAACATTGAACACCTTGTTCACTCAGCCTATTTAACTATAAATATCAAGATTACTTGCAGTTGTACGTTTCTTGAACTTTGTTTTCCTTCTATGATATGAGCATTTAAAACAATACAAGAAAGATGAGAAATAGGCACCATGAAATCAATGCTGTGTTTTGACTGACTTATAAGTAAACCGATGGTTGAACGTTCAAATGAAAATTTAAACTAACATATGTTGAACATTTAACTGTATATGCATATGCAAATCTACATTCAATGAGTTAAAAGTTAATTGAATGTACCGTATATACTTGGTTGGTATAGAGTTTTAACTACATTACAAAGTGCATCCAAGATTAGTGCGAGCTTAACAGCCTCGTATTGAAATTAAACAGATAACGACTAATTCGGAGCAAGTCGTTAAGATATCTAAAGATGTCCAAAATACAGATCTGCATTTGAGAATAGCTACAGCTAGCATTTCTTACATTTAAAACGGTTGAAAAAAATTGAAATCTGAATCCATGTTTACAATCCTGATTAACTTGTGATCAGACCTACTGTTCGAAAACAATACAATTTTTAACAAATTTTCTGATATTAGTTTCTTCGTTGATGAATGACTGATAGCTATAGAATACTGTTTTATTTGATATGTTTTAAAAGTATGCATATTGCTTCCAGTAAAAATTTCTATCTTTGTAGTGGAAATTTCTTTCCCAAAGATGTTGTGAAACAGTGATAAATAATCTGTTTTGGAATAATCTTTATTTTCAAAATGTTCAATGAAAGGAGTGATTGTTTCTCACTTCGCATATATTAACAATACTAATCCTTTGAATAACGTCAAAAAAACTAAACATATCTTATGAATAGAACAGGTTATTGCTATACTTTAAATAATAGTAAAATCAACATTTTAAAAAATAGAATATATTCAATGTTTTCATTTTGATTGTTTGAAATAAGTAAATTGTATCAGTTTGTTAACGCAAGTGAGTTTCGTGTCGAAATATTCTCTTTTAATTGTCTTCTACTAGTGAATAATATCTAAATCCGAGGAACTAGTAAGCTTATGAACTAGTTTTCTACTGTAAACTTGTTATACTCTTTCAAAGCTTTTATCAAAAACTTATTCCTGTCTCAACTTACAGTTCTTCTGGACAATTTTCAGGGCGTCCTAAAACGTGTCCACCAATAACTAAATTCATGACATCTACATTCGCTCGACCGTAAAATGGATCAGCACCTAAGGTTAAAACTTCCCAGCAGGTAACAGCATATGCCCTAAAAGGACAGAAAAAGTTTATGAAAAGAAGATAGTCTAAACATGTGACTTAAGAGATAAAATCACTTTTAAAATATCTTCGAGAGATTAATCAAACAATGTAAATTTAATTTAAAACCAGCCAACTGAATGAACTTGCTTTTAAAATATCATACCATAAGACTTGTGAACATCTTTTTATTCTGTTGATTGTTATATTAAGTGGAAATAACTGGTTATTTATTCAATAGAAATGTTCTTTGCAAAAGTACAGTGATGGCTTACTAGGTGAAGTATTGTGGTTTCAACTAAATAGATCTGAGGTTTGAAACCAACAACAACGAATTCTGTCTTAGTAATCTACCAGTATTCATACACTACATACAGATGATGTCTTTTCAAACCGAATATACGATCATATAGTAAGTGAATAAGTTACATTATGAAAGTAGACTTTTCTTATCTGTTTCTGTTTATTCGAAGAATTTAAGGAAATGATATGATTACATGTTAGTAGTCGCGCTTACATTCCTTTGATTGAACATTTTATTCTCTTTTTTTCTTGTAGAGTTTAAATGAAATATATGAATTCACTAGTGATTAGGCGACAAACGTTTGGTGTAGGGCAATCAAAATGGTAGATAATCTATTGAAATCCCTATCCTAAAATCTTACTCCAATATATTCTGTTAAAGACATTTAGATGAAAGTGTTAGGGATGTTAGATCCCCAGAACTCGCTTGATTAATGCCTTATTTTGCAAACATCGGCTGATCAATTGACCTGGAGATTTCATTTCCCACCAGGAAAATCCATGTCTGTGATTGGCTGCTGTGTATTTTAGTGTGCTATTTTTGTGACTGTCCCAAGGACGTTTCTATGATGTATAAATAAATGAGAGTTGTGTGCTTGATTGTATTGTGATTGCTGGGTGTTTGTAGAATATACTTTCTACGCTTACAAAGCCTTTTGTCTTCAGCTTGGGATTAAAGGTAGCCTATCTGGACGCTGGTAATTGTCTCGTTTATCGACTAAGGTGAACTCGTAATAGCTTCAAGCGTACCTAGTGACGAATATAACGGAAAGTAATCGGTTATTTAGTTTGTTAAGGTTAGGGCACTAGATCTCCATAAGTATTGTCAATAATATGTTTCCGAGACAAAGGTTACCGTTGTATCAACAAGTTACGAGCTGTAGTATCATGAGGTTGTGTTCTATCATACGTTACTCAATGTCCATCACCCGAACATGCTTTGGTTTTCAAAATCGTATATTGACCTGTTTTTGAAAAAAAATTCTCCCATTTTATTTTTCAAGGCATTTTATTATGTCTTTTTACTGATAAATGTTTCACTTTACCTTTAGTTAAATTATATTTGTGATTATTTAACTCGAAAGAGAAGTGTTATGAAACAAACCATTTAAACAATGAAATTTCAGATAGTAAAAATTACTATTTCAATGTACACATTTCAACTACCGAGAGTTTGATAACCAGATGAAGTCGAATTGTTTTAAACTCAACCTATGGCTAATTTAACGATAGTTTAATTTGTTTACAGATGAAATTAGTTTCAATCATGTTAGAACTTACAATCTGCACAAAATAGAGTAAACATTTTTTTCTTCAAAATCATTCTTCATACTGTGTGCAATTACTAGTGTGATACCGGGAATCCACTATAATATTGTTAGTTTCTTAGGATTATCATTTTCTATCTCAAATATATGAAAAACTTTTACAAAACTTGAATAACCCGGTAAATAAATTTGAATATAAATTATTTGAACTAATTTTCCTACACAAGATAATTTCAAACGACGAGTTTAGCTATTCTTCGTTGAATATGGTGCGGAAAATCACATTGAATACTGTCAAGCAATGTAATGGTCATTGGGAATTGGATCATAGAGGTTGTTTACTAGATAAAAGATTGAACAGAGAAGTAAGTTACACTTGAAAACCAGTTCTCATTCATGTCCAGTCTAATGATATTCGAAATGTTCTTTTCAAGTGAAAGATAATTAAGAATAGACAATCAATAATGAAAGGTATCAGATGTAGGCTATGATTGAAAAGAAAATTGTTTGTAATAATTAGTGAGTGAATGATCGTAGTTATTCCTTGTTAAGATTGTTTATGAATAGTAAAAGAAAGTATAAGTAAACAAGCCTGCTTGAATAGAATATATATATATATATATATATATATATATATATGTGCACACAACGTGAACTTTAGTTGTATAAAAATGAATCAATAAATTACATACTGACATTTATGTTTAACTGATCTATAAAAACAAATCTATGCTGAGAGAAATAGCAATAACATGGTAGTTTAGATATAAATTATCTAGATCTTTATATTTTTGTTTATGTATTCCGTTGAACAGTTAATCGAGTCTAGTGGATGTAGTAGAGTTGACCTTTTTCTATGATGCATTGATTAGCAACATACCCATGTGAGTGCTTGTATGCGAACTAGTAGCTCAAATGTGAACTGCCAATGACTTATTAAATGTTTTACATCTTATGGTAACAAAAGTGTTCACTTAGTTGTTCACGAAGAAAAAAGACAACTCATTCGATAAATACAATTAAATTATTTTTGAAATGAATGTTTTTTTGTAGAAAGATTTAATGAGCCAATTGAACTGGAATTTTGTAGCCAGTATCAAATGGTGACGTCTTAAATAGTTGTTGATTACAAAGTTCATAGGCTGTATGGAGAATTACAGTAACCAATGTGACAACAATCCAAGTGATTTGAGATTCACAAACAGCTTTCAAGTGTTACTATCTTACTTACATAAGATGAGGAACAAATGAATTTTATCATGAATCAAGCATTTTCAAATGAATCGAATCAAAGACTGCATTGATGTCAACTTCAAAGTACGAGATTATTTGTCTAAGATTTTTTCAATTTCTTGGTTTACATTATGAGTATGTTTAAACAAATACTTTTATGAACAAAGATTAAAGATGCCTAATTTATCTACTTAAATAAATACATGTACCAAGGACATTTAACTAAAATAAGCAGACTTGTGTAATTAACATGCAAAAAAGTAATGTATTGAAAGTGAAAAAAAGAACAGGACTAATTTGCTGAGTGCACAAATGTTATTCATCCCATGAACATGTTTTTCATTGTATTTATACAGTAAAAACAACAACTTTCATCTGTTAACGTGTACATTGGTTTATTTAAAATAAATCTAATCACTTATTTTATTTATCGCTCGATATCTAGGGAAGTTTGTTGAAGAGAGATTGCAACAAAAATACATGTTTGTGTGCATGTATAACACTTTAAAGGTATTCCACTGCCGATTACTGAATTCAGTTGCGTTAATACAGTAATACGCTTTACTCACTCTAATTATGCATGATAGTAATAATCCGACTACATATCCAGCTATTCATCTGTTTATACAAATGAGTATGCATCTAGGTGTCTGCCTTTATTTCTGACCTCCAACAGTTTTATGCCTACAAGGTTTAAGACTAAAAAAATATTGAACTGAATTGATACTGCGTTTGAGAACAGTTTGGAGTGCTAATTGTGATAATTATTTTAATTATATTTCTTAATACTTTGTTTTCAAAAATTCCGACTAGTGGACACAGTTAACACTTATATCTCATATACTCAATCCGGTACATAAAAATCTTGATAAGCTTATTTCCTATGACTGAAATCTGTTCATAAATACAGGAAATATAGGTCATACGATTGATTACAATCATACACTGGTAGAGTGTCTTTAAAAAATTAATTTTTGGAATAGTTATACCTGAAAGATATCGTTAAATTAAGCGGAAATTGAACGCCTGTTCTTTAAGTGCACAGAATCGATTAACCATTTTTCCGCATTTATATTGATTTAACAACATGACTGTAAAATTTGGTAGTTCGAGATCAGCCTCAATAGTCAATATCATGGATTCCAATTATAATCAACACTATTCTCGGCAAGTTTGAGATATGTTAGTAGCGATAGAGAGTGATTTTTTAACGAAAAGAGTGTCAAAGTGTTATTCAAGTGAGTTTTCTTCTTCTTTCAGTTTGAGTGAACCAAGTAACTAGAATCCTCGTAAATATTTTTGGTGTATATTGAATTGTCTGGGACGTTAAATCCCTCGAACACACTTGACAAAGGTCCTAATTTTGGATTTTATGCTTTCGCGCATGGGCTGATCAGATGACCTTGAGATTACATTTCCCACCAGGAAAATCCTTGACTGTCATTGGTTGATGCGTTATTTTAGTACGCTATTTTGCTGGCTATCTCAAGGAAGTTTATGTAATGTCATAAATAACGTCGATTTTTTGGATGCTTGTAGAATAAACTTTCTACGGCATATCAAAACTTCTTCCTCTACTTACTGGCGCCTTGGGACGCTCGGATTAAAGTAGTCTATCGTGTCACTGGACCATTTGTCTTCACTCTCGTTTACCGACTAAGGTGAACTCTCAATATTTTCAAGCATATCGATTGACAAAGCTTAACAGGAATATCGAAATAGGGCATTAGAGAGAGAAATGTTTTAAATAAGATGGTTTAGAAATATACTGACAAGACAACTTTCAGTTCAAACCGCTAATTTGGACTTAGTGATAACTAGTTAACACTAGATTATTCTTTTATTTCATAGGTGGAGATTGAAACTCTTTCACCTATGTACTCTTGGGACGGGACATTCACATCCGATCTATTTAAAAATTAAAATCTAAGATATCAGTTGTACATTACAGTATTTTGTTTTGCTCATTTTTTATGCAAGTGCATGCATATCATAAGCTTTTGATTAGTAAAATAACTTAAAGGACTTAAAATCTCTCTAAAAGAAGTATCTTACATATAAAATCACAAATGTATAAATAGTAGACTGAAATCTGTGTATATAAGCGAAGGTAGAGACATTCTCTTCAACGAAGCCAAAAATAATAAGTTGAATTTTTGATTCACACAGAAAGAGAGATGATACTCTTTCCTAACAGAATGTTCATGTAAAAATATTTTCTAGTATAATAAAAAATCATATTTTTCAACTTGGCAGATATGAAATAATTGCTTCACTGAAGTACTTGCCCACCTGCTATCAAATCACGCATAACTGCGCTATTGAGATATTCTGTGAAAATTTTATTAAAATGAAAACAACTATAGAATTTTTACGTGGATCAAGTTTTTACCCGGTAGCTACATTACCAAATTCGGTGATCAATAGGGAAATGTTTGCTTACCTTACAGAAATCCTTTTAAATATTTCTGTCTCTTCTTTTCTTTGAGGTAAAAATTGACCCATTTTCTTACTACAGACTTCTGTTAGACACATTAAAGTCACGTCATAGAAACTAATTGGTCAATGTAATCACTGTATATGTTTGAATACTGAAAAAGTTCTATTCTCTCATCGTTCAGTTAGGCAAAGCGTCATCTGATATAAAACTGTGCATAATCAACAGACAGGAATACAATTTACTAGCCAATATATGAGTCCCCTTATTCATTTGTGAATTATTTCGATTAGGAACAAGTTTATGATTAAAAGAATCATGAGTGATAGGATTAAAATGCTACCAACCTTATCAACACTGTCTACTATCCACAACTTAAGCATCCTTCATTACATCCAGACAATTCTGCTAAGAAATACAACTTGAAGTGATGACTTGTTTATAATGATTTATCGATAAATGTTGAAACTTGTTATTGAGATTACGTAAAACACTGAGTTACTAAAAGATGTTTGCAAGTATTGAATTTTATTCCCTCATTTGCTTTACAACCGAAACGATCAATAAATTCTGGGAATTCCTCGGCTAAAATGTTAGTTATCATTTTAGTTTATGTGCTTTTCTATGCCTGACTATTGGTCGAATTTGAATTCGTATACTATTGCTGTTTCCACTCATTATCAAATTAATGGATTCAATATTAGGAAGGGTGTATCTGTTTTATAGTATGCGTTTTACTTTTATTTCGTCAAAGTATTCATACACAGAAAAACGAAAAAATCAGTAAATTCTGTAGTTTTAGTCAGAACATAAGTTAATTTTGTATCATAGTGAAGTATACCAAATGTAATGAATATTTTAATTGTGGAGTTTAAAAACAAAGTGACTTCTACGTTGTTCAGAATGATTCTTTGGGAGATTACAATCATGATTACAAAGCTGCTATTCGTTAACAAATTGGTCAATATTCTATCATGGTAATTGTTACCTCATAGGGAACTGAATGTTTATCTTTTCTAAATAAATAACGTATATTTAAATAAATGTTTTGGCTTTAGAATTGAATTTCATGGCTTGTAAATCAAACGATGCTGTACAGTGTTTTTATTAACTTTCGTCGGGCATCCCCAATAGTAATAAGAAAAATGTGTTATTTGAATTAAAGACCACAGAGTCCGCCAATCGGAAAAATGTTCCACTTACCAAACATCAGATTTTGTTGTGAATAAGCCATCACGAATAGCTTCCGGTGACATCCATCTGACAGGTAACTTCGGTTCATTGCGCTTACGATAGTAATCATTTTTATAAATATCTCGTGCCAATCCGAAATCACACAATTTAACTATACGTCCGCTTGAATGATTGTGACTCACTAAACAGTTTCGTGCTGCAATGTCTCTGGAAAAAGAGATTGTATACATTTATGAGTAACACTAGTGCGATATCATTACGTTGTAACTTTAAACCTTAGTCATATAAGTTTGAATAAGACAATAAAGCTGGTGTCCTATAACAGTCTGTAGATAGTGTCGAGCGGATGGTTATAAGCCAGAATAAACAGAAACCTGAGGTTAAAACAACTAGCACACTGTGTAACCAAAGGTCACCATTTACTACGTAAATACATGACACATCTATTAATTAAGAATTTAAAAATATATGACATTTCTTTCAAGAAATAACAATTAAAAAATTAACCGAGCGAATTCATTTATTTTATAGACAAATGTAATACAATTCAAAGTTACTGTATAAAATTGAATTTTAGTAAAACAGTTCGCAATGTAATGCCAAAATATAATAAACTGTCTGAACCTAGGTGTGTATTGGGCTTCTCAATGAGTCTATAAAAATTCAATCGGAATAGTACTATGGTTTCGATTACAACCCTCCGAATCATGAAGTAGTTGAACTTATTATTATATGCCATATAAAAGATAAAACTGATCGTAGTGGTTTCCATCGTCTTTCAACAGTGTTTCAAATATTATATTCCCGTCTAACCGTGGAGTCACGGATGTGTTTTAATGATGAGTTCAGGATTCTAATAAGGGTGTGACATTGATCGGTCTAAGATTCCAAGTGGGGAAATTGATCAGATCATTTGATAAATAGCATCCGAGGGTTTGATAAACGTTTCTGTTTCTTAAAGTTTCCAGAGACTTTAATCGCTCATTTCGAAAACATTTAAGACTGAGTTTTCAAAGTATAACCTGTGCATGTCGAAAGTGAAGAAATACAGTGTTTTTCCTCACCCGAGCATTTCAGTCCAATAAATATATTATTGTTAAGTTTTGGCGAAGAGTTCTAGTAAAATAGTATAATCTTTTCACAACATTCATATTTAAGTATTCGCTGACATCCAAAGATCTTTATGAGAATAATTTAACTGACAATTTTGGCTACTCGTGGGTGTAGTTGCTGTAAATATGTAGACAGCCTAAATATTTATTCGAGGTCCCTGAAAAATAAAATGATAAAGCCCTTCCTGAATTATATAATAAAGTGATTCTCGTAGCTATTCCTACTAGAGTTGAGTTGGGCTGAAACAATACTTAAGTAGCTGTGGTATGGTATAACTCATATTTAATCTTGAAAGGATTTAGTCGAGTGACACTCAGAGTCAAAAATCTCCTAGTACCAATTGTATATTAGATACCTTCCGTTATTAATCCTGTAGTACAGTTATGCTGTTTACAATAATTAGATCTCCTCAAAACTGGGGTATGGTACTCTTACCTGTGGACAAAGTGTTGTTCCTCAAGATAACGGCATCCATGACATATATCTCTCATTATAGTAACTAATGCAGGTAGATCCAATTGTGCTGTCAATGTGATTACGTTTGAAGCACTCGGCGTTCCACCGCCTGCTGCTGTACTAGTTGAACTTGTGTTCATAGAAGACCCATCAGATCCTCCAGTTCTTCCAGCAGCTGCACAGATAGCCGCAGCAGCAAAAACATTTGCAGCTATGTCAGGTGCAATTCTAGGCCGTGAACGGTGAAGATAATCCCTTAGATTGCCTTGATCCATCATTTCTAGGACGAGACATTGTTGTCCAGGTGAATCAAATGACACACCGAAGAATCGTACAATATTTGTATGTTGATATTTGTGCATAAGTGTCGCTTCACGTTTAAATTCAGCTTCAGTTAGTGATTTACAATTTCTTACCTGATTTGATTAAAGTGAAAAAAAAATTATCATACATTTTTTAATTACCTTATTTAAACAGCTAAGAAGTGAGAAATGGAAATTTTGTCACAACACGCGCTAAGATACTGACAAAAGGTTATTCACATTTTTTACTCTATCTTCTGTCGTCTTTCAAGACAAAATAGAAAATTTCATTACACAATAGTTACATGCCCTAAAATGATGATAATTTCTTGGAGTAGTTAGTGAGTGATCATCGAGTCTGTACGTAGTATACCTACAACAAGCTGTCTGTTGATTGAAATTAATTAACAGTGGTTTTTACAAATCAGGATCGGCCATTGTCAACCATGAAAATCACTATTTTTAAATACAGTTAATAGTTACTTCATGTAGGGCTGTAGTTAATATGCTCAAATTTAGCAACATAAACTATTTTGATGCTAGTTCTAGTCTCTCGAGAAACAAAAACTGTTTGTTGACGAAAAGGAATGAATAAGATACTAAACAATAAAATTAATTGATTTCTCTTTTTTCAAAATTACAGCCTATTGGTTATCTCATAAATGTGATTGACAGCCTTTAATCAGTACCGCAAAATTAGACTGAATACGAGTAGCTACTAACCATGGGTCAATTAAAATTACGGGGACTATTTTTTTCCCACTTACTACAGTTCACCATAAGTGATTACGAAGTTTCTAAAGCGATGAAGACAAAGCATGACAATCACTAGTCTAATTATCACAGTTTAAGAAGTTTACCTATTTCACTTTCACCAACTGTACATTTCACATTAACTAATGAAAGTGAAAATCGATCCAGTCACATTCCTCTGAAATAAACATTTCAAATAGTCATGAAATTGACTGGGAATTTATTTCTTCCTATTTTTATTAGCAAGTTAGACGTGCAACTGTGTAAGCTTGTGTATACATATGAATGAATTTCTATGCGATAAAAGTGGACACATACTTCAGGGTATACAAGTATGTACAACTGATAGACTGAATCAAATTCTTAAAATATAAACAATTGGCGAATTGATAGATAAACTAGTTACAGTAAAAAGATATTATTTATGCAAAATAGGTTATTTTACAGAGAAGAAAATTGTTTCATTGAAAAACATGTCGAAAGTGTAAATGTATTGATGTTTTTGAGAGAAATTAACGAAACTCTTGTATTCATTGTAAGTACCCGAAGACAATAGATGTAGCAAGAAATGTTAAACATCTAACTAGTCTTGATAACAGATACAAATATTGTGAATCAATATATAAGGAGATTGAAAGACGTTGCCTAAAGTCTAATACTGTCATAAAACTCTGTTTTTTGAAGCTTCTGAAGCACTGCTTATACCTATAAACAATTGTGAGATGAGCTATTGAGTTTGTTGATTATGGGTATTAAAAGAAACAATAAATTTATCATTGCATAAATATTACAGATTGCTTTTGGTATCAAAAATTCATTTTTAAAGGTTTGTCATTCTCATGTGGATTCTTCGATTGGTTTGATATTTGCTGTGTTTTCCTCATTATTTTTCCCGTTAAAGATTCGCTGAAATTGGGTGCAGTTATCAGGCTGAAGTATTTTCATTAAAATAAGTGTTATCACTAGCTTAAAACTCTAGAACTGCTTGGATTTTTCAGAAATGCATAAAACATGTATTCCGAATACGTAGGAAATCTATAATGCTCAGAGGACTGTGTTAATTTGGCTGATTGTCTGGTATCGAAGAGCAGGAAGAAAGTTAAGTTTTAGCTGATAACCTTTCCGAAGTTTAAAATATAAGCGAATAAACCGAAATAAGGATATATAACTCTTCATACTACTTGCTAAAAATAATCGACAATGTATTCCGTATTTAACTGTTATAGTCTTCGGTGTCACAGTCCCCTTTCATATAAAGTTTCGTTGAAAGTGCCACCATAAAACTATACTGATCTAAAATCAGAGTTGTTATGCAAATACTAACAAAGTTTTTATAACGCTGAATTTCAATGAAACATCAAAATCATTCCTTTTAGGTACTTGGCATTTATGCAAGTATACTTATTCTATAATTGATGTTATCAGTGATATTCAGTTAGTCTTAGGATGATACCGTTTATTTACATATTAAACCTTAACGTCATCCTTCAAAACTAATTTATTATTTGATAGTAAAAAAAAGTATAAAAGAAATTATGCGCAATCATTAAAAATTAAATCAATAACCTACTTTTAATGCGACTTTTTCAAATCGCTCCCCATTTGTGTCACGAACATGAAGCCAACCTTCCCACACTTTACCAAATGCTCCACATCCTATATAACGTAGAAAACGTATATTTGCAGCTGGTATCTGTGGGACTTGTTCAAAGTTGTTGAGATCAGGTTTACTAATTCCATATAATGAATTCACCTCTTGGTTCCATAATGGTTCAAGAGTAGCTAAGTCAAGTGGTAAACCACTCGTGGTTAAATCGCTACCCAGTCCCAGGATAGATGAACCATTCCCACTACTTGAATGTAGACGTCTTGCTGGATTGAAACTAATAAAAAATGAGTGCTTGTTAGACTTTCCATCTCTATGACGACCTGAAAAGAAGGAACATAAACTAAGCTAGTTTGTATGAACCTAGAATTAAATTAACAAGTTGAAATTTTATTAACACTACTATGCATAACAATATATTATAATTATTGTCAGACAAATTCTTATCAGAATTTTTATTCTAAATAATTTGGTAGTTAGAAATCCTTAATTTAATAATAATAATAATAATACAGACTTTATTTCAGCCTTAAATCTCAATAAAGCTCTACTTAAGATACTGTTCTGTATGATGTTAAAGTATGCGATTGAAAAACAACGTGCATCATAATATTATCTCGAAAAGTAAATACGAAGACAGACAGACAGAGAGATACAACGCAGAACTTCGTACATAAGTACATCAGTTCAGGTTGCCATACATCAGCAAAGATATAATTGTCAATTCAAATCCAAGAGTGATAGCAATAGTAGAAGTATTAGCAGTAATGGAGAAGATCAGGGAGCGAAGATATGATTCGAGAGGTATAATTCAGTGAGACAAATTTAGAATGAGAAAGACAGAGATGGTTAGAATTAGAGAGAACACAACGAATGGATGCACTTGCGCCATTCCGAACGATTATGAGCCATATCATTCAAAGTCTCTAACCATTAGTGACTTTAGTCTCGTGGACCCCAACCATATAGCCTACATCTACCAACATGACTCAGTCCACTTGTCAATGATTTCATGGATTTCTGCCATGTTTCGGTCTGGCCGCCCCTAGCTTTCTTTCAACCTACTCCTACACCACAAAACATAGCTCGTCGAGGCAGTCGGTGGTTAGTCATTCGTAACACATGTCCCAACCACCTCAACTGATGAAGTTTCACTACTTCGTCTATTGATTTGTCATCCCTACCTAGAACTCGTTTCCTAACGACAGTATTGCTTATACGGTTGTCCCATGATGCACGAGCAATGCTTCGGAGACATCGATGATCGAAGACTAGTAACCTACGAATGTCCTCTACTCTTAACTGCCATGTTTCAGAGCCATATAGTAGGACGGAGCGAGCTGCTGCACGGCACACTCGTCCTTTGGTTAGCAAGCGGATATCTCGCCTGCGTCACCTGTGGCGCAGGCAAAAAATACAAAGATATGAGTAAGGAAAAGAACCTTCAATTTCACTGAATGCAATCAAGGCAATGACTTAGATCGATTTAACTATCTGTTCCAGCCCTGATAAACTTTTGCATTTCATACTTTATGAGTCTGTGGAATGCATTCATAAACAAAATAAACATCCTATTACATCTTTGCTGATTCATTACCAGTTTTTCTATTTCTTCACAAAAAAATACACTTTTCACTGTTTCCTTTTTAAACAACAAATTTTCATTGTGTTTTAGATGTTTGATAAGTTTCGCTTGTAGAAATAGTTATCGATACTCTGTGTTACAATATTGTGTTTGTCTAAGACCTGATAATGATGATGATTAGAAAAAATGTCTGATCTGATAAGAACATTGTCTAGGGCAAACGAATGTCACTCACTAATGCATTTCTATTCAATGCACATACATGTTTTATCTACCTGGATTTGTTGTTGTCAATGTTCTTAGTCATCAACTGTCTTAATCCAGGGTACTGTACTGGCATCATCACTGAGAGATATTTGTACGAATTTCCTATCAGTTTAAACAGCTGAAGCAAAAAGTTGACTAGATTTGCCATATACTATTCTGTTATTTGATTCTTAATGCTAACATTTGATTGGAGAGTTAAGTGCGAATATTAAATTAACCTTACATTAATCAACAGGTTAATATTTTTCTTTTGAGTGACTTCAATCTGTATATAACAGTCTCTTAATGATACTGATCCAATGTTAGGAAAGTCAAAAATCTCTAGGAATTACTAATCATATATATATATATATATATATATATATATATATAAATGTGTTGGTACTAGTGTCACAGCCACAATCACATTGCTGTTTATCGAGATATAGAGTTTTAGTGCTGATGTTGCATACAGACTACCACTCGTTGCAGAGCAGCACCGAAAGTTACAGCGTAAAATACTCAACACTTCTTGTTAAGTGTGTTACAAACAAATCAAGGGTCAATGGTTTTATTATTTACAAAACTGATATATTCTTCGTAAAAGAATATTCAAAAAATTAGTAAGACTATTTGATCAGTAAGTGTCGAGTTCAAAAGACTCAGTAAATGCATTCTTTTCAGCATTATTTCATTTCGTTATTTCGTTCAGACCGAAGGAATTAATGTTGATCTGTTTAAGTGTCTAAAATTTAAAATTCTTAGACTTTGAACATTACTCTGATGAAATGCTTTTGAAATTTTCACCATAGAATTTATATTTTTTTAAATGTTTGTCAATCAATCAACCACAGTTTAGATTGTGATCAGTTTGCAAATTTTTGAAAACTAACAGTGAAATATTACTCAGTTTTAGATGGAATTTACCGATCATTTAGTGAATAATTTTCAAGTATAAATCAAGGGTAATGTTATTTCTTCCTAATCGGCAGAGAATCTTGTTTAAAACTAGTTTGATGTGATGGATATAGGCCATGAGAGTCACAATTAATTGAAGCGTGTTATGGTGTTTCAATTTTTACTTTTCATTTCAGTGGAACTTTCCTGATAAAATCTTAACGAAAAAATTTCTTCTTGAAAGGTTACCAGTTACTGTGAAATAGCCTATAAATACAAAGATTAGTAGCGTTTTATGAATTAAATAAATGTTGGCATTTTACTAATTAAAAACTAATTAGTCACTTACGTCTATAAATCAGCAGCACGATTAGGAATAGGAATAATAGTAGTAAAGCAACGGAAAGCAAACTGTACGTTAATAAGCTTGTCACTTGATTCAAAGGTTGGAATATAGATGAATAACCCTTAATTATAAGAAAAAATTCAAATGAAGACTATGAAATATAGCTGAAATATGACATCAACAAAGAACACCATATTTAATTCAATGAAAACCGTCCTTTTAAATATTGTGTGTAGACTTAATTAGTATTGAAACACATCCTATCTTAACGACAGTGTTTTAGTTCTGACTGCCATTGGAACAATTAAAAAGTTATATTGAGCATCAAACTGATGCACGCAGACACTAGTTATTCAAATAATCGATTGATTCTATTGAACAGAGTTTTCTCCGTCACTTGACTGTCATACTCTGTAAGTTGATAAATTGACTAGTGAAAATTTCATTATCATTCATGACAATGCAATTAGCAGAAAGTTTAAAAATTTCTTTGTATATGCCTAAATAGCTTGACTAATTATAGGTAGAATATACCAACTTCTATATACTGTAAATAGCTAACTTTGTAATTGTTTACACTGTTCTATTAAAGAGGTAGGCTATTAGTGAAGACTGTGGAAGAATACAAAATTACTATGAGATAAATAAGGACTTTCGCCTAAGTTTCAAAGTGGTTTATTGCCAACTTATTATATGAGATTAAGAAGGGAAAACTTATTTGTTAACATTTCAGCAATCGTAATGTATGTATATCCAAATTTGCACTAAGCAAGCTGAATCAAGATTTTTCAAGCAAATAAATGTTCAGTGCTTCTATGTTTTTCAGGGGTCCGTTGTATTTAGAATTATTTTTAGATAGATAGATACTTGTCTTTGTGAGCTTCATTGGTAAGTTATTCGGCTATATATTTGGTTAAACAAGAACTTTGTTAATTTATAGGAGGTCGTACGAACCTTTTCATGATAAATTTTCGGTGTGCAGAATGCATCCATATACTACTCTTAAGATGTAACCTTACCATTAATCTCACAATTTTATTTTATGTATGAACTCATCTAGGAAGACCACATCATAGAAGTCATTCTAACATTTACGATTTATTTTACAAACAATCCTAAAATTCACATGTATCATTTTTCAGCGATGTAATTTACCTGAAGCATGGTTACCATTTTAGATCATTAATTTGGATATATAATTGTAGAACCTGAAGAGTATTTACTAAAAAGTATATTCTTTATATATATATATATATATATATATATATATATATATATTTACGTGCAATACTACTTAAACTACCTATGAGTAGTTCAAAATGCAGGTCAAATGTATACCGATCGACTTTAAAAAGTTGAAGTATTTCTGAAAAAGTATGCTATTGCAGAGCATGACATTTAGAGTTCTTAAATTCTGATTAAAAGAAGGAATTTTATCGGCAATAGTATATGAAAAACCATACAAAATATCATGGGATTTTTGATCTGTTTTATGTATTATTATTATTAATAAGTAACAGCTGTTTTGTTAATCTTTGAAGAAAGTAGGTAATAAAAAGCGGCACCTGTTATTTTGTTTATTTAACTCATTTAATGTCTGTTTTCTGCTTTGTGAGAAACTATCACCAGTCCTTATCACAATTCACTCTTTTTATTCTAGGTGTCATATGACCAAACCTCCATTTTATCGGTTTTCAATGCTCACGAATGCTTCCTGCTGAAAACCTGTGTACAGACTTTCAATTTTGAAAACATTCTTGTTCGATGCTTTGAATACATATGAGTACACATACATTTCTGACTGTATACATACAATATTGTTGAGAGATATACAATTTTTATTCAGTAGTAGATGAATGTTTATCACAATACGTAGTTTGAATTTTGTCCATGTCATGAACACTATGAACCAGCAAACTTGATTGTTTGTGAGTTTCGTATAGCATAATTATGAAAACTGTTAAGACTGAAATGAGTGTATAAAAGACTACTTTCTGATAAGTGGATTTTCTTTAAGATTTGTTTCAATTGAACGTTGATGAGAAGAGACTGACTCGAATTCTCAAGAAAAATTAGTGTCTGAAGGTCAAAACCAGTGCAAAAGGAATCAGTCATTCAACCAGGAACATAAAGAAAAGCAAATTTTCTATTTGAAGAGTATTCTGAAGAGATAGTCAGTTTCAGAATGCTGATTTTGATTAGAAAAAAATTGATTATATCTCTAACATTTGTTTATGAGACTGGGTGGTTTTCTTCTAGTTATCTGCTAACAATGTTGTGAGATACTATACAACCCAGTTCTACTATTTAAACAAAGAATAACTTTACTTAAAATTTGCATTTAAATCAGTTAATCCATGAAGTGAATTTTTTTTGTGCGGCATAAAAATTACACTGTCTTCTGTTTAAACTTATTACTGAACCACGTATTTTTTAGCCATTTTGTCAGTAAAATGAATAACATTATTAGGCAAACATCAGTTCTTGCCAAAAAAAGCTCATAATCTTAAGCATTGAGTTAAATTACATGTGCTTTGAAGATCACAGCTTAAATGTTGAGATTAATAAATAAAAAAAAAACAAGTTTTCGTCAAACAAACAGCAAACTTATCTGGAACTTTTTGAAATGGTGGCCTAATGATCAAATAGGCTGGATCGCTCATTCCAATTTTATTGACAGCTCTTAGTTGAAAGGCACTTTGGTGATTTGTATCCAATGTGATATTGGCTTGTTTATCTGTTAAATTATGTGGTGTAATGGAATCCCATTTTGGTTGTTCTAAATTACTTGAGACGATTGGCCTATAATTTAAAAAAAAAATATGTGAAATTTACAGAGAAAACATCTACAGCGCAGTTCAACTTATTAATGAATAAGTGAACATAAATATAGCGCTCTTTGTAAAGTATACAATTAAATGATAACTGGTTTAATAAGTTGAAGTTGAAAGAAAAATATCATCATTAAATTCGATAGAATGAAACACTCCGGAGTTTTGAGAAATAAAAATTATCCATCCAGTCGGTTACACTTACAGTGATATTGCTAATAGATAAACCAAGGAAAATTACAAAGTATAAGAAAAAAGGCGGCTAGGATTAAATTACGACAGTAGAATGGAATGAATATGATGACAATGATCGAGGGACCATTTGAAATAAATCCCATTTTTGAAGCGTTGACCATACACATCCCAGATGGTTGATTGTTCTAAACAAAATTTGGATTGGTACCAATGACCAGTAAGTGACAGGATAAATCATGTAAGGAATAGTTAACATCAAGTAAATCGAAATAAGAAAAAAAATTTTAATTTTGTTTATTTCTGTATGAAAATGTATTCGAAGTTGGATAGGACAACTGCTTTACAATACCATGGATTGCTATAAGACACTGGGAAAACCCGCATGAAAATATAAATTAAACTGAGCACTGATGAAAAAGATGCAGTAATCAATATTTGTGAAACAATTTACCGCATTCTTATGATTCAATAAAAAGTCAAAACCAATCTTAATGCTTGGAAGCAGTTGGTTACAGTTGATCATCGGTTACTAGCAGAATTTAACTGATGAATCTGAAGTGAATTCGCCGAAGTTATCAAACGAATGAATTCATCAAAGATATTCAACGTTTCAAATACGAATCAAAATCTGCCTTTTTCTGTAGAAAATTAGTTCAAAATAATTAATAGATCATTTATTTGTTCGGTACAATTACATTATTTTTTCAGATTAGATAATGTAATCTTGCCAGGGCACGTTTTGTGTGCAGAATGTTTAACTAGACTTTAATGTATACTACATTGATTCAAATTAGCCTAGTATATATATATATATATATATATATATATATATATATATATTGAATTCGGTGATACTGAAATTATAAACCATGTAAGATAAATTTAATTTGTAATAAAAATAATGTTCCACTTCCAACCTACATTTAGGTATGACAAAATTTACCATAAGAACACATTAAACGTACTTTTCTCTATTTAAGTAGAACTAGTGATAGGAAATGTAAATAATGTATAAACATGTAAATTTAACTAGGGTGGGAGAACAAAATTATGACCTGTGTAAGTTTTCTACAAATAGATAGATATTATGCCACAAGATTTGGTAATTTAAGATACAAGTTCACTGAAGCTTAATTAATTTGAACTGTATAATAATTTTTGTGATATTCTTTTATGTAACAGAGATAGTTCAGGGAAATTAAAATCTTCCCCTATACTTGCATTTGGTTGATGCGAAGCTAAAACATTAAAAGTAAATTAACCTAGCCCCAACAACAACGAAATAAATGAATCGAATATGAAAATCACATGGAATAATGCATAAACAATCTTCTTCACCATCTGACTGGATGTATGGGTGTGCATAATATGATCACTTGAATTGTTTCATGCGAATTTCACAAACCTTACAGGCAATTTACATCTGTATCTGCTAACGATTAGAGATTTATTGAAATAAAATCTACGACGCATTAGATACGAACTCAGTGAATTGGCTGTATCATATTCAGCATGATATCTGGAAGCTGTTGGTTTGCATTCCTAAAAATAACACAATAGTTATTTGGTATCCTCTGGTTTCCAAAAGTTTCCTAGTTGAGTACTATCGAAAATTTAGATGGAGGCTTCTAGTTAGTGACTAGAATGTTGAACATCTATATATATATATGCCAGCCAATACGTAGACCACCTTTCAGTGATCGATATCTAATAAAGATGGGAGACTTGCTACTCTACACTTGAAAAGCTACCCAACCAAAGTCACAGAACAAAGACCAATCATCAACAACAGTCCAAGATTCGTGACTATATTTCAAACATTCCTTTATGTACACACACAAAATCAGACTAGATCGTATCAATAAATAAAAGCTGACAACTATGTATGAATGATTTAAAGTTGATTGTGTAAGGAAGTTTGTGAAATAATAACTTGTCAACAAAATAGAAATGGCAAATTGTATGATAATAAATTGTTACTTAATAGAAAGCTTATGATGAATGAAATATACAAAGTTGATAGTTTAGTTGATTAATACAATTTATACAATTGGATTTTACACATCAATAGTCCAGTAATTAATTTTCTAAATTACTATGTACTTAAATCTTTACCCGATTTTAACATAAATAGTAACCAATTATAACACGACGTTTAAGTTGTATGTTATTAGTACTTGTTTGATGATGCATTTTTCGCAGTTATTCGAGTGATTGTATAAACTAACTATAAATTACAGTGGTGATAAAAAAATCATGAAATGATGTATCGATCATGGTCAGATTATCACACAAGTGCTGGACAACCGCTTCGTCCTATCATGCGCATCCACGAGCCCCGATCTCAGTCATTGAACGCAGGACCTTCGAACTCGCGTGTGACTACTTAACCTCTAGACCAGTGATCTGTCATCCAAAGGTGTTAATATCTAGCCTGAATGGTGGTCTAACAATAGTCGATTCCTAATTTCACTGAAACTCGCTAATCCTTAAAACTGTATAATGAAAAAATAATGAATTCGAAATGGCAGAAATTGAAAATTGAAAATCATTTTTAAAAAGTTTGTTTTAATTGAACTAATCAAGGCGAAATATTTATTGACAACAAAGTTAACATTAACAATCGCTTTACATTTATCATCATAACTATTTAGTGTATTTTAGATATTTCCAAAGTGCCTTTACAAATCAAATGACGGTGTAATTAGTTAATGATACCAAAACTACCAACAGAGTTTAACTATTTACTAATTGACAATTCAAGATGAAATTTGCAATTTTTAAAATTAAAAGAAATATTCTTTTTTCGCAAATTTAGAGGTATTACTTATAAATACCTAAAGAATTTGAAGAAAGCAAAATACTGTCAGTATATAATCACCTATACACTACTTAATATTAATTTTCACATGTTGGATAATTCAGAAAAGAAATTTCCTTGTACACCAACCATTTCGTAGGAAATAGAAATATACACTGGGAATCAATTAGGAATCACATCTAGGGGCTGCTAACCATGAACAACTGTTTGAGATTTCTCGGTTTTGTTTACACATCATGTAATTTCACAGACGCTTGAAAATTTACCAAAAAACATTTTAAACATGGTTTACAGATGTCTCTAAGACTTTAGTGTTGAATTTTTTTTCTATGTAAAGCATCACATGATTTTTTCCACTTCGACGACACTAGTCCTCCTATTCGTTACGTCAATGAATCAATTATATTTATGCGTTAACAGTTTAATAATAATAATAATAATAATAATGTTTTTCAACTTACCATATGTTTACAATTTCATTTTACATAAGTGAAGACACCTGTTGTAATTTTGCTTACGCTAAAAGATAATTTTTTTTTTACGTATGTTCATAGCTTAATTAGTGCAGATATTGTAAAAAAAGAAACCATATCCACCTGATGCTCTCAGATTCAAACTCTTTCTTTTTTTTTTGGTGGGGAGGGGAGGGGGTAAGATAAATGTAGTCTGAATTTGTTGACAGAATCTATGAGTTCATAAAATGATTTTTTTATTGAAAAAATACATACTACTTACAAAAGATAAATGAAGTCGTTATTATTTGTTTAAATTAAAAAAGCACTCAACTGTTGAAACACAGTTAAAAGTTACAATTGTCTATGCACAATTAGTATTAGATAACTTAAATGTAAATGCTCTTTAGGTGGTGATGAACAACAAATTGAAATAAATATACAATTTGATACATTCTGAACCGATGATTAGAAGGCATACACGTTCCCACCTGAGATTGTATATCCGGTGTATTGTATCAGGGCGAGTAGTGGTGTACCCATTGTTTATCGAAAGATGGAAACGGCAGTTTTTCATGGACGTTAACAGACAAAAGTTGGTGTTCCTGACATATGTTTGTTTCCAATATGCGAGGCACCATGATTGTCAAAAATTTATCTTGGTGAAATGAATTTCCTGTTGTGTAATCTAACTACTTTTGTCTCTACTTATACTTGGTCTAAAAACAAACCAAACTGCTTTTTTTTTCAATTGTTATAACCAGTGTTTTGAAAGGTTGGTTCACGTCACAGTTAATGAAACATATTCCGTGTTCCAACAACTACTTCCATGGCATATGATCCCATTTATAATTATGCAAAGCATCATAGTAAAGACTGTTATGATTTCAAGCTATTTAACTTTCATCTAATGATTATGTTATCATTATTATTCGTTTGAATTAATTTAGTTGACATACGAATAGGCCATAGAAATCCTTTTATTCACTTACTAACTGTCAAGTAATAAACTCATTGGACATTTCTTTTCTAAAGTTCCTTTTTTATTTTAACTGTTTGTTTTGGAAGTCTATGTGCGATAAAAATTGCCTAACTTAAACATTTTCCATTTCAGATAGTTAGTTGCATGCAGAAATGTTCAGCAGCACATCTGTCATTGAATGATAAATGCCTTATTATTTTATCAAAGTAAAATTTAAAAAAAAACAATTCTTAAGATTAATGAATATAAGAGAAATGAAAATAATTTGATTGTGTTTGGGGTGGACAGTGAAAGTGAAACTCCAGACAAATTTTTTTTTAATCAAGTCATAGTCATAGTCTGAATGAGAAAAGTGTACTTAAATATGCAATAATATTGGTTTCAATAACAGAATACTCATTCACGTCTCCACATATGATACTTTTGTAAATTTCTCAGTATTTCATATTCTTACAGAAAACTTAGATTTTGTTATTGTCTCGTTGCTATGCTGGTGGAAAAGAAGAAAGAGTTTTGACAGATATCTAACGTTGAATTACTTATTATCTAAGTATAGTGTACATTTCATACGTCATTGTTCAATAACCAGTAATGGTATATTGTAATAAAATAACAAAAATAACGCAGGAAATCATTCATTCTTGAACAATTAAAGATAATTCAGCAACGGTTCAAAATGAAGCATGGCAGCAGAAAGTGTTGAACGTTTGTGGAGAAATTCAATTACTTCAGTTCTGCCTAAAGTTTGTGCTCATGATGTTGTTCAAAAGAACGATAAAAGCTTCACGACTAAACTGTCCAGTTCAAAGAAAGAAACTCCCTCAAAATCCATACAGTCAAACAATATATATGGATTAAATAGACAGAGTAACATAGACAAGCGCTTGTAACATAGACAAGCATACATATATGTTGTTAACATACATGAATGAAAGAGCATAGTCGATTAGAAATGAACATACACGATATAATCAATGAGATCACAATGAAGCATGTAAGGATTACGTAAGTATGCTGTTCTCAAACAGCTTATAATCGATCTGTCTTGTCGTTTTGTGATTAGAGTGTAATTTTAACTGTCCATTGAGTTCCAAATGTATGACACAGTTTGGATACAGTTAAAACTCAAGATGTACAGTAAGAAAACAGTTGCAGTCATTAGCACATTCTGTCCCTTCGTTTATCTGTTTTCGAAATTATCTTCAATTGTCAAAAAGTAGATATTTAAGAAAGTGAAAAATTCCTCATTTTAAACTATACTCAAAGATAAATTTCATTTTGATAAACTGTTTATTATGATTTAACGTGAAATCATGTTTTACCAATATTAAAATAATAATAATAACAACCAATATTAATCAAGTTATGATGAGGTAATCAACAACATTTTCAAGTTTACAGTTGTTTAGACAAAAGAAAGAACAATTTTCATAAATGCTTGATGACGTAAATCACATACAATCTAAACAGGCTAGTAATCATTTCTAAAAGTTCTATTTAATAAACCATTTAGCATAGTCTGTTAGAAATAACTGAAGAAAAAAAACAAAACAATAATAACAATCGGAATTTTCAATTTTAACATATTTTATAACAATCAGAAAATCTCAACAACATTTGTGCATGATTCCAAGCAATTTCCTGTTTAACATGCATCTAAATTTCAAAGTATCCAAAAGTATATTTAAGCTCTTTTTTTGTTTAATAGTCAATCTCTTTGACTCATTTTTGAACAACTAAAGTTTTCCACTAGTACAACTGATATGACTACTTTTCCAAGCCTAATTGATCAGAAACATTGTTTGAAATATACTTGGATAGACAATGATGAAAAATTAAAAACCCGATAACTCTAATGTATCAGTTTGAATGTGTTAGTATCAGGCACCACAATAATTTATAGCCCTTGTTTATGAGCTATATAAGGGTACAAGTGGTTAGCATTCATAATTATTCAGTTTAAACAAATTTAAAATAGGGTGTAGGTTTATTTGCAATATTCGCACAGTTTGCAATCTAGTTGGCTCAAAATTTTAAGTAGGCAGTCCAGAGAGAGAGAGAATAAGATTTTCCATACATGCCGTGATTATAAAAAGCGTCTGTCATAATAATTAACAATCAGTCTGTTCAGTTTCAGCCATCCCTTTTAAATTTTATTCATTTTATGCAGAAATGTATTGCCGGAAATTTTATCAGTAATATTATTTAAATTATTTCTAAATATTGCTTCAAAACATCAATACACATGATCGACCATGAGTTATTCGTTCAACTAATCCTTTGATTGAGCAACATGTTTCAATATTCCTTAATTAATGTACACATACAAAGAAACAAACTGAAACATAGTGCCTAGTATCTTTAATCTTACATATTTATCTCTAATCACCACACTTGTACATGTTCACACACGTACGCAGAGAAAGTAACAAAAGAAAAGATATTATCATTAGGGAGTTTTTCAAAATCAAAATTGACGCTAAACTATGTAAAAAGACTTATATATATATATATATATATGTTTCCTAGATATCGGTCGGATGTTTGCCTTAATCTTATTTTCCCAGATGTTTCTGTAAATTATAAACATTATCCATTTTCTAGTGAATACTGATGTTTGCTTGTTTGTTCTAACTCTGTCGACTGCAAAGGAAATTCAGGCAATTATTGTCTGTGTTTTTGTAGCAAAGAAAGCAATATACATAAATATATATTATATATTGGTAAAGCGAAATGAAATTATTTAAATCAACACTAATCCGTAATTACTGGAAGATATATATATATATATATATATATAAACAGCGGGGAAGGCGCTAATCATCAATATTTATAAGAAATATTACCAACATTGAGATACATTATTCATTAAAATAAATCACAATGACGTACATAGACTTCATGTTGTATGTAAATATCGGTTCTCCATTATCATGGCTCGGTGTCCATTCCAGAGTGTATTGATTGCCTTGTATATAGTGATATCGTAGATCCAATGGTGCATCAGGCACATCGGCTGAAAAATTTATCAAAAATATTATCACTAGTAGCATGTATCATCCATAAACTAAATGCCGATTTCAACAGCTAGTCCACTTGAAGTTGACACCGACTATCAGATATCATTTAGCGGAGGCAATTTTAACTACAGCCAATGCAATATTATTTAAATGGATTAGCATGGCATTATTACTTACTTACTTACTTACGCCTGTTACCCCCAATGGAGCATAGGCCGCCCACCAGTTTTCTCCAACAAACTCTCTCCTGGGCTTCCCTCTCCAGTTCTCTCCAATGTTTGTTCATTCTTCCCATATCTTTCTCTATTTCTCGGCATAGTGTGTTCTTTGGCCTTCCTCTTTTCCTTTTGCCTTGAGGGTTCCATGTGAGGGCTTGTCTCGTGACGCAGTTAGGTGCTTTCCGCAATGTGTGTCCTATCCACTTCCACCGCTTCTTCCTCATTTCCTCCTCCACTGAAATCTGGTTTATTTTCTCCCACAGTTCGTTGTTGCTTATGGTGTCTGGTCAACGAATATGAAGTATTTTGCGTAGACAACTGTTAATAAACACTTGTATCTTCTGGATGATGGCTTTGGTAGTTCTCCATGTTTCCGCTCCATACAGTAGAACTGTCTTGACATTTGTATTGAAAATCCGGATTTTGATTTTGGTTGAAAGTTGTTGGTTGGCATTATTGCAACTGGCTTAAACACATTTATTTTAAATATTTTTCAATCAGAAAATGAAACTATTGTTTTTAACATTATAATTATGCTGCGGTAAAGTATCAACAGCCTGTCGAGTACTTAGGCTTTAAAATATCTATTGATCTTGGTTCTTTTCAGTGCACATAACAATTAGAATGAGTTTTGTAAAAAATTTGAACATTTGAAATTTATCGTAAAGTGTTTGTTTCTTCCTAATGTTGCTGCTAAAGAAGGTGATTGACGTTTAAGCGGAAGTGCTTATTAGAATTGAATAATAGCTAGTAGTGGAACCCGGAAAACTCATTCTGTTTCGTTTGCCACTGGTCAGCTGCTTCCGGTACCTACATCTTAGTGCTAATGATGACATCGAGACTGGAATGCAGTAATTTCAGCTTTAAACGCCAGTTTTTTATCAACTGAACTACTGAGACCGTGTAGCCATTGAGTTGTCTTTTGAAAACATGAAAGTTTTCCATTAAAAACATTTATGTTATTTGTTTTGATAAGTTGAAATCGACTTTTTTTTAACTCAGTAATCCTGTTTTGTACAAGAAAATGTTTTAGATTATTAGGGCGTTTTTTCTACTACCAATGAAATTTAAATTACCATTTTAAATAGATCAAACTAGCTGAAATGGCCATCTAACTTGGATTCATTTTAATCCTAATAACTTTCAACAACCTCGACAAACTCCTGCATTGATGAGTATCATGAGCTAACTAGTGTTCTAAGGAAAAATCATTACCAGTGTTAAGTGTAAAACAGTTATCCACTGAAAGAAAATGGGGGCACGGTCACACAATTTGTGAAATTTATTCAAGTCGGACACGTAGAACAGTGCATGCTACCTTAGTGGTCTAGCGTCTAAACACTTAATGCAAAACTGAAAGATCCTTGGCGTTACTCTTGGTAACCGGTTCCGTACTAGGACTAAACAACTGCTTTTATTGGTTACGTAATTAAGTTCCAGTTGTGATCTGACTGAAATAGAGCAGATGTCTGGATAAACGCACGAACTTCTTTAAATTCATGATAAAAAAATAGTTATTATATACTGGGAATATTTATTCATCTTCTGGTAACAAGAGACGTTTTCAATCATGGATTACTGGCAAATTGAAATCAAATTTAAAATATGCTCAGAAGCCCCAAACTTGGGCTTTTTTTTTCTTTTCAGAAGAATATAAAGTGGAACGCTGATAACAAAAAGACATGGCTATATTGTATAATGCGATTAATTAGTACTCACGGTATGTTTTACAATCGCATATATCTTTTGATCCAATCTTTGGAAATCGATCAAAGGTACTGTTTTCATAAATCAAATTTAATCCGAATTCGTATCGTCGATTAGGTTTGAGTGAAGTAATTGTATGATTACGGTATTTAACTCCTGAATGACCCCATCCATAGTCGGACATTGGTTTGAATTTCGGTTGGGGCAACTGACGTCAAAATTAATCGTTGTCATATGCGATGAGAAGAGGAGAAAAAGATAAAATAAAGTAATAACACTATTTGATAAATAGAAAATATTAACGAAAATGATTGCATCACTTATTTTCATTTAAAATATTTTTCTACATAAAAATTTTATAACAGAAATAGCAACTCTTACAATAAGTAAAATCTTTACCAGTCATAAGATTCTTTGGTAATGAATGCCTTAGAAGCTAATGAATGAAACTGACAGAAAAACCGAAACAATTACTAGTCAGGTGAATTAATCAAAGAAACTTTAAAAAAAAAAGTGATTAAAACCTGAGTAAAGAATGGTTGGCAAGCTATTTAAAGTATTAATCATTCTTGAAATTGAAGAAAAATTGTGAAATCACTTAGTGCTTAGTGACTAAATCATTGGGGCATAGAAACGTGGAGGAATATTTTGAAAAATCCATTCGTTCTAAGGGGACATCGAAATCATATGTTGACTAAATTTCTTTTCAGCATATTCCTGTGATAATCATTCATTCGATTAATAGAATTCAGTCAATTCTTCACAAAATTTGTATAGTTCACAACGGAATCTTGTTTCAATGACTTGAGATAACTAGTGTAACTGAACTTCGAATACATGAAAAACAATCAAAATGACCTCTTTTTTTAAACAGCAACCAGGAGTAGACAGAGTACTGGATTTAAGTCAAAATTATTTATTTACCACTTGTCTTGAAATGATCTAATCTGGACTAGATTTATAAAGTCTGCCTGTCGGAATTGCTTCCATCTAAAGAATAATCACAACTTGGTCTTCGTTAAAGACTGAGATTGTTTCCTTCTTGTTACAAACTTTAACTTAGCATCAAGAAACAGGTCGTTATTTGACTGAGACAGGGTAGCTAATCAGTCAATAAAGAACATCTGGAACAGACCCTACAATAAAAAAATTTTTGCAACTGTGACAAAGATACTTCAATAAATAAAGATAAAATTTTCAGGCAGAGCTTCGGAGGTTTGTGTTTTTACACATTTGAAATCATCCATCAATTATTGTTAGAACACCATTAGAAACCTGGAAGCACTGGACGGCCGTTTCTTCCTGGTATGGGATTCATCAGCAGTGCACATCCATGACTCCTGCACCTCGCAGGAGGGGTCCGATGGTTGGGCATTCGCGCACAATACTGAAGGTCCCGGGTTCGAATCCTGCGAGGTGCAAGAGTCGTGGATGTGCACTGCTGATGAGTCCCATACCAGGATGAAACGGCCGTCCAGTGCTTCCAGGTTTCTAATGGAGATCTAACAATGATTGATTGATGATTTCAAATGTGTGAAAAGATAAAATTATAATTTGGTATGTTATAGATTGCTTGGAAAGCCTTTCCAATAAGCTCAAATCCTAATTAATATTTTAAAAAATAATAACTTTCTATAAAATAAACCATGAATTTTGGATAACTTTAAGTCATGGTTCATAATCACTACAACAATTAAATTGATGTGATATCCAGAAATTTTCACTTTATTGTAGCAGCTGATTATTTTGTTAAGATAAATTACCTGCATACTCTTCGATACTTGACTAATTACTGTCTTATTTTATTAGGCGAGCATTATAACTTTGAGCTAAACATTTCTAACAATCTAGTCACGTACTTATCAAGGCATTTTATGCGAAATATGATCAAGGTCAACTCAATAAAAGTTCAAATCAACATAAAATGATAATTGTAAACAGAAATTGCAAGGGAAGAAATAAATATGTTATGAAAAGTACAGGAAACTGTCATCCGACTACAACATACGATGCTGCTAAATTGATTATCGTCAAAGGGACATGGTCCATGAATCCGCCTAGGCCTAGAAACTGCTCAAATGATTACATCATGTCCCACTGCACTGACCGATTCACATACTTGTATGGCTATACACGAAACGGTCAGGCATTTTGGAACATGTCCCAAGATAGTTTCAGAATCAGTTAGCGCTAAATGCTCCAATAAATGTTGGAAGTAAAAAAAACATGTTTATAGAAAGCAAAACAAATAATTGAAACGGAATAAAACATTGGATAAGATTTGTCCAGTGTATAGAAGCCTTGGCTATTTGTAAATTCAAACCCTCTTTATGACAACAGAATGGTAAACTTGACTATGTTTCAGTAATCTTTAGCCCTTTTTGTGACTTACCTAACATGTTAACTTTCTCTCTCTCTCTCTCTCTCGTTTTTATAATTACAATGATCATTTTATGTTTATTTGAACTTTTATCTAATTGACCTTCACCATTTTTCAAATAAAATGTCTTGATGAAAACATGACCAGATAGTTAGGAATCACTTTTTTTCAGATTAACTCCATATTCTCAATGCGCAACTAAAGCTTATAAAACTAAATAACTACTCTAAAAATTAAATTATTGTTACAGTAAAATGTTAATAGCGTTCAACTATTAACTTTGTAGTTAAGCTTGGAAAATGTAGATTCACACATGAAGAAACTTCTATCAAATTACTCACATTAAAATTTTTCAAAACTAATTCATTTTTGCTGTTAGTAATAATTTTAAAGAGCTCTGAAAAAGTGCAGCACAGAAAGCATAACGGCGACGTTTTGCTCAAATACTCGTTATCATTTCTTCAGCAAGTTGTTTTTTACAAATAAATGATTCCGTTTCAATAGTAGCATACGTTTTAGACAGATTTTAATTAAATGTTCCATGAAGTAATCTATTCACATTTCTGTATTGTAAGCAGTTGACGTTGAACATACACTCAACAGGCGTTCAATGATCGTCAATTAAAATTGACTTTTGTTTATAACTAACCTCAAGGTCAGTATCAGAAGTAACTTGTATCTCAGGTTCGACGATTAGAACATTCATGAATGATTTTAGATCACCTTGTTTTTACCATATCTCTTGCCTTTATAACTTTATGATTACCGTTTTTCAAATATGCAATTTGCAAAAAGACAATCTGTTTGTTTAAGTAAATCAGATAAACTCATTATATTTTTAAATGGGTTAACAAAAGAGGTAAGATAAAAAAAATCACGACGTTATCACTGGGTTAAACAAAATCAATCAATTTTTCGAAATCATTTCTAGCCATCCTTATGGTATTCAACGATCAGTTATATTTTAAACGATTTTAGGTTGAAGTGAATGCAGAGAATCTTTAAGAATGAATAATTTATTACATTGTCAGTGAGTTGAGTAAGTGAATTGGATCAAAGCATCAACTGTACTTGGTTAGTTCACATTATTTTAATTTTACACTATTGTCAATCACCATACCAAGGTGCTTTATTTAAGTTAGTTGAATACAGTAAAAAATAAACTAGAAATTATAACTAAAAATCATAGAATGTTAAAAAAAAATTTAATCATTATTGATAAATAGTGTGAAAATGCTAATTGTAAGAAACAGAAATTTCAAAGGTATGAAGTAGTCATTCAAGTTGGTAAACTACTTACTAAAGGTAGGCCAATGATTTGCACATAAATTTACAATTTTGTTTAGTTTTCTGTAAAAGTCTTTGTCTATCTACCCAGTCAAATACTTGGTTGCATTTCGTTATCAGGGAAACTGTGTCCTTTCGATTAGTTGAATGAACTTACTAGCTTGTTAAGTGTATGCACACACATGTATCTAACAATGTGTCTGGATGACAAAGAAATTTTTTTTTTCACTTTTACAAAATCACATTGAAATGAATACATGCAACATGCATTGGCAACATGAAATATCGATATATGGAGGCATTGGAAGTTTGAACTATTTTTTAAAAAAATTCACGTTGAATTAGTTTTCATATGTTGTCTAGATTTATGTAAATAACGATAAATTTATTTGTCATATGTTGAACTTTTAACGATACTATTCATTTCGGTCAATAATGGCTGTATTCTGAAGACAATATGGAGGCAATTCGTACAGAATTAACATATTACCAAACAGACTGATCAGTTAAAGACTTGAACATTAATGGGACTCTCTTAACAATCAATACAAAGGAATTTTGAATGATAATGTTCACCGTAAAATTCAATCACATATATAAATGGACCTTTGGAAATTATGGATATCTTAGCAATTGAATGAACACACACAAATACATTAATCTGACCAGAAATATTTGACTTGAGTTGTATGTTGTTACAAGAATAATTTAAAACGTATTTCTGACGACAGCATATCAATGAAATGGAGTTGAAACAGTTAGGTTTACGAGAAGCTACTGTAGTATCTAAACCATTAGTTAAGCTAAAAATGTTTGGTTTTTTCTAAGAAAACTTTGTCTAATCATTTATGTAATGATAATAAAAACAATTTTAACATCAATTATGATAAGCTTTGAGAATAAGTCACCTCATTATACAGAAATAATTCATTGAAAACAAGAAAGTACTAGATGAAAGAAATTTCGTAACACTGGTTGATAAAGAAGCATACATACAAAACTATATACACTTTAATTTATGTCTTTTTAACCAAAACCTTTTGTAACGAAACCATAATTTTTCCAAAAAAATCAAATATTTGTTATATTTGAAGAGCCTGAGTGGAATGTTACATTTTAGAAAACAAGAAGTGATATTAACAGCCTGAATAAGAAAATTTGACGCACATGGTTCTAGATTTTGGATGACAGTGAAAGTTGGATATCAGTTCTATTTGCTACATTCACTGCAATTTTAAAAGATTTACCTTAAAAAAGTTGAGCAGACGTAATTTCCTCAGTCAGAAGTTCCTCTCTAAACTATCTTATTGCTACTATAATCGATTTGGAGTGATAGTATAAAATCCCGTTCACTGGTACTTAGTTTCTTCAGTTCACAGCTTTGAAATATTAAAACTGGCGACACTACCACAAAAGTAAACATCTTCGAAATAGTACTCGTGCACAGATAGGTAGTAAAGTTTGTTTTTTAATATAATAACAAATTTATTTTGTCGTTACATGTTAATTATACAAATTGACTTAATTGTTCGAATTTGAGA